TTAATTGTTTAATTGTAGAAATACTGGTGCGACGCTTATGGCGATTTGAAGTCACACCACCAATATTTGTTCGATCGTGACTGATACTTGAAATGAAATGAATTATTAGTGGTAGATCGAAATATGGATTAATGTATACTAGGGTCCTCATTATATTCATTGTTCACAGTGCTTTCGATTGTGAATCGATAACCTTCAATTATACTATTCCATCCAAAATACTACCAACTTCAACATGAGAAGGTTATTTTCGATATTTTTATACCTAAATAATTTCAGTTACAGTCAAAAGTATTGAAACACTTTATACTATGCCATCTTCTATGAAATCCTGACTAACATCTTTTGATTGATTGTATACTATGATATTACAGGGATAATAAAATCCATCATTCTGGTAGTGTAGATAATGGAATCTTAAAGCCACCCCAAATTCATATTTCTCAACTATGATCTTTTTTTTGGAGATATTGTAAAAGGTAACTTAATCATATAGTCTGGTTCACATGTACTCGATTTAGCTCTTTTTTGTGACATTTTTCAGCCCTGTCCAAAAATTACGACCAAGGTGTCATTCGATTCATATTTTTGCTTAGAAAGTTTAAGGAAAGGTCCGAAAACGCGCCGATAAAAATTACAAAAGTTATAAACAATTAAGTGAAAAAAAATGTGGCTTTAGTTTTTTCTTAATATCTCGGAANATTAAAAAAAGAATGAAAAAAGTTTTTTCAAAACCTCAAAGAACAATAGAATTTATGATTTGAAAAAATAACGGTTTCTTAATTTTATTATTTAGTTGCAAAAAACGATTGTTAATTAACAGAAGCATTTTTTAGCCACAAAGAATTTTTTTTAAAACCATTTTTTTTCTAAAAATCATGATTTTTTTCCAATTAACATAATGCAAAAAAAATTCGAATTGCTCATAAAAAATGTATTTGTTTATAATGAATTTATTAACAATAGCTGTAAAAAATTTTAAAAAAATATTAATAATTAGTTTTAGCCATGAGACATTGAAACAATAGGAAATTAGAAAAAAAAAATTTGGAATGTATTTTTTATAAAATTATAATTTTCAATTGTTAATAAAAAAATAGAAAATAACAATTATTTTTTTATTTTGACAATGGTAATCGATTTTTTTGCCTATAAAGGATAACTTCACCGAAAGAAAAAATGCCAGGGTTTTAGTTTAATAATTATAGGGATTTTTATATTAACTTCCAATTCAGAAAAAGTTATTAATTACCAAATTTATAATTAACGTTAAAATTGGGATAAAAATTTTTTGACTGCGGATTATTGTTTATTGATGTATCCCAAAATTGTAATTGTAAAAATAATAAATAATCGAGATACAGTTTCGGGAGTCGGGACTTTTTTTACGCAAATTCATTGATCTTTTCAAATCTTTTTTCAAATTTCCAAAATTTTGAAAATTTTCCGAGATATTGAGAAAAAACTAAAGCCCCTTTCCTTAAACTTTCTAGGCAAAAATTTGAATCGAATGACACCTTGGTCGTAATTTTTGGACAGGGCTGAAAAATGTTACAAAAAAAAGTACATGTGAACTAGATTAATAGAACTGTCAGTTCGTTTCAAAATATATAAGTTTCTAATGGGAAACAAGAATAAAAACCTGGATTCGCAAAGTAAAAGTGAGTGTACCCCACTAGAAATTTGTAAAGTGACTAAAAAATCGATATTTTTCAAAAGTTCGTCACTTAATAACAAAATGAAAATAACTTGAAATTCAAATAGCTTTATGTCACACTTACTTTTAAACATCATTTCGTAATAGTTTCAAAACCCTGGGCTAGTGTTTCAGTGGTCCCAAGTTCAATCTAAAGTCAAATCATATCTCCGACAGTTTTTCCACTTAATTTTCAACTTATATTTGAAATTGAATAAGTCAACAAAAAAATTGTTTTGAATGTTATAGAGTTTAATGGTATTACTCTGATTCGGGATATCCTTCACAAATACATCTTATTTTAAAATATTTTTGTTATAAGTCGTAGAAAAAGTATAGTATTATTTTATTTTCGAAAAATGGTATTTACTAACTTGTTTCATTCATGACAAACTCCAATTGTTCCCGCATTTCTCGCACGTTGAATAATACACTATTTTTCCTTAATTTCTGTTGTTTCACTGGTAACAGTAGTTTTGGATTTCTTAGTTTGACATTCATAAATCGTTTAAACCGAATTAGCTGTCAAAAACAACATTAAATTCCATTTCCTATTATTAAAATTAATGGATCATCAATAAGGACTGGTTATTATGAAAATATTGCTCATGGTTCAAAATATTTTCCATTGTATGAGTATTATACATTTTTTTTACTAATAATTTTATTAGTATAACATTATTTTTAAAAATCTTTCGGAGTGTTTTTTATTATTATTTGTTTCAAAGCAAAAAGTCGACTTGGAGCCTTTTTTTGAATTACCCAACTGCTGAACTAATTCTTTGAATGGTAACTCAATAGTGAATCGTCCATTACTATCACGTATAGTTGTTTTTACAAGGTTCTATTTAACTTGCAATTTTTGTATTTATGTAGGTATGCATGTTTGCATGTATGTATTGTTAGTTTGCGTCAAATCTTAAAACCTATTTTTGAAGCAGTTATCATCAACCGATTGAAATGAAAATTAACATATATGAAAAGTGAGAGAAATGAAAGTTTCTATGTTTTGTACCTCTATTATAAAAGTCGTTAGCCGTTACTATGACGTAGTACCGGCTACATCCACCAATTTAATTGACATACACGTTTAGTTTCGATGACAATGCATGACTACCTAAGTGACCCAAGATGGCGGGTCGCCCAAGGTGAAGGACCAGTTTTTAATGCTCCCTCATGATATATGTATCAAATGAAAAATAAAAAGAATAGAACAAGACGCCTTTCTCAATCCAATATGGCGGACTGCAAAATACTGCGAACTAGCTTCTTTATGAGCACCAATGATATGGACATCAAATGAAGGGGTTTCCTGATAGAAATGAAAAAATAACAACGTCACTTAACTAAAATTGAGTTTCAAACCTTTTTCTTCCAAATGTATATTTCATAGTCCTGGTTGAACTAATGCCCATCTGTCAAAAGATGAAATGGCTGATATGCATTACGTTTACGGTCTATCGCAGGGGAATGGGTTGGAAGCTTCTAGAAGATATGCTGAAATGTATCCTCAACGGCAGCATCCTTCACATAGAATATTTGCCCGACTTCATCAACGATTACGAAAATGTGGTTCATTCGACAAAAGAACGCAGGGTTGTGGACGCCATCGACAAGTACGAACACCACAGCTTGAGGAAGCAGTACTTAATTTGATTGAAGAACAACCTACTACCAGTACTAGAAAGTTTGTTTTTCAGCTAAATGTTGATCATATGACGGTACGTATTTTGAATACAACGAGCCTGCAACGAGTACAGGCACTGTTACCGCGAGACTTTCCGAACCGTCTTGAATTTTACAATTGGATGCTGGAAATGATTAGAAGAAATTGTGACTTTCTGAAGACGATAGAATTCACAGACGAATGTAGTTTTTCTCGGGACAAGATTATTAATTTTCATAATTACCACATATGGGCTGATGAAAACCCTCACGCTATTATCGAAACTAATCATCAAGAACAGTTTTTTCTTAACGTGTGGCTCGGAGTTATTGGGGATGATTTAATTGGGCCTCATTTTCTACCTCCTCGATTAAATGGTGAGGCATACGTTCAATTTTTAAGAGAAGTGCATCCAGTACTGCTGGAGGAAGTTCCTTTGGGTGTCAGAAGGGATATGTTTTTTATGCATGATGGGGCTCCCGCCCATTTTAGTCAAGTAACACGTCAGCATTTAACTGAAACATATGCAAATCAGTGGATAAGTCGAGGAGGACCACAGAACTGGCCCGCTCGATCCCCAGATCTCAATCCTCTTGATTTTTCTATTTGGGGCGATTTACAGCATTTGGTTTATCATACTCCTGTTCGCGATGTAGAGGACTTAAGAAACCGCATCATCGATGCGTGCAGGGTAATCAGAGAGACTCCAGGAATATTTGAACGAATACGTGAATTAATGCGCCGACGTCTAGACGCATGCGTAATGTCTGAAGGTAGACATATTGAACATTTACTATGATTTCTACATGTTGTGTGTTTTGTTATTAATAAATTAATTTTGTTTATTACCCTTTAATCGTTTAATGCAGGTACTAACTACAAAATAACAATAAATCCAGTTCGCATTTATACGTGGATCAATGCGCCGACGTCTAGACGCATGCGTAATTTCTGAAGGTAGACATATTGAACATTTACTATGATTTCTACATGCGTGTTTTGTTATTAATAAATTAATTTTGTTTATTGCCCTTTAATCGTTTAATGCAGGTACTAACTACAAAATAACAATAAATCCAGTTCGCATTTATGACGATGCATCTGTGTAGTTGTTCGTAAAATAATTTTTTGCTGCGAACTGGTTTATTTTGGGCAAAAAACCCAAGAGACTTTTTTTTTTAGAATGAAACAGGCTATCGGAAATAAATTTTTAAATGGTAAACATATAATAAGACAAAAAGTTACATTGAAAATAAATTTTATGGGTTGCGTTTTCCACCCCTTACAACCATGGGGTAAACCAAATAAATTACTGGCTAAGTGTTTTTGGTGGTTCAAAACGTCAGGTTAATTTCAATTTTGTAACTTTTTCAGTGCTTGTGAAAAAATTGTTATACAAATTAAATGTACCGCCTTTAAGGGGCTGTATCTTAACAAGGGATGCTCCAATGAAGTTTCTTTATATGAAAGATCCTATTTTTTTCGATGAGGAATCATCTCCTTAAATGTTTTACACTTATTCAGTTACACCCTGTATAATCAGGGTGATTTTAATCAAAATGATGGAGTAGTGATATACCTGCACTTTATTTCATCTTATCTGTTCTAAAATTCACATCTATCTTGAATGTTTTCCAGATGAAGCAATTACGGAAAAAACTGTTGAAGAATCAGCTACTGAAGTATTACACTTTCATGATATTAACCAAGTTCAAAACAAAAAGTCTGGTTTAGCTCAAACAGAGATTTCCCCAACCGAATCTGAAGAACAGATTATAACTGAAAATATTTCAAATAAAGAAGAGGATCATTCCTTTAATGTTAATTTAGCATATGATGATAGTGATGCTGAAAATAATGAAATTTCAGAAAATGATATGACAAACGACCAATCTAAATTACCGTCCACCGTTGTGACAGAGTCAAAAGACGTACATATTCGACCAATAGATCAGAAAACTATCGCATCTCAAGAGGACGTTATGGTAAGAGAAAAGGAAATGACACCAATTATATCAGTTACCGGAAAACCTGATTCAGAACAGTCAGCTGAACCCGCAGAAGTTCCTGAAGATGAAAACTCACAGTCGACGCAGATACCTACTGATGGACTCCCAAGTACTGAAAAAGAAACAGCAGAAATAAGTTCAGAAGAAATCACATCAACGACCAATACTCCAGTGGTTTCTGAAAATGAAAAATCAACAGAAAGTCCCGATGTAAGCGAATCTCTCACCAAAAAACCACAAGAAGAGGGGCAAAGCAAAGTAACTGAGACATCGGTAACAATTAATTTGAACGAGGAATCAGACATTACCGAACAACCAACACATGAGAATAACGAAAAACGAAATTCCAATGAAACTGGAGTTGATACCCTTGGAACCACGGACACGCCAATTGAATCAGCGACACCAGAGGTTAATATCCAACCAAGTGGAGAAAACATTACTGAACAAGTCACAACCGAAATAGGAGTAACAAAAGCTGCTGTGGACGAAGTAACGAAACCAATCATTCACGACGTGGTAACCGAAATTCAATCTAGTCAAGGTGGACTAGGCGCTACTGAAGAAATTTTCTCAACTGAAGTAACACCTAAGAAAGAAGTAGAACTCACTGCTGAAGTTACCAGATATACTGTTGTCACCGAAACTTCTAGGTTAGCAGAAATTCTTGAGGTGGAAAAACGTCGTGTCGAGCAAGCTACAAGTGAAATAACTCCTGATAAGCAATCTGAAAATAAAACTCTTGGAGTTGAAGAACAGAATGAAGCAGTTGCTGAGCGCCCTACAACCGAAAAATCGCAAGGGGAGTTGAAGCTTTATGTTACACCTAACTTGAAAGAAGGATCCGGACAAGTAAAACCATCTGAAGATGTAGAAAGTTCTGGTGAACCAGAAAACGAAACGGAATCTAACGATCAGAAAACCGAAAAACCCAAAGAGGAGTCGTCTTCTGAAAAGCCAGAAGTGGTATCCACACAAGCAACTGAAACTTCAACTACACCTACGGATGTATATCAAACATATAAACCAGATGTATCTCAAATTGGAATATCAGTGACTGAATCAAAACAACCCACAGAAAATTCTGAAGGCGAAGTGACCGACAAATCTACTTTATCAGAAAAGGATCATTCTGGTGAAAACCAAATTGAATCACCAGACATACCGGCGATATTAGTGACTTCTAAAACACCAGTAATTTCTGAACCAACATATTCTGAGATCACAACTCAACCTGAACAAGAATCAGAAATCACCAAATCGCTTGAAACTGACTCAGAACATAAAACATCAGAAGAACCAAACGAGGTAATTACAACGGAACTTTCACAAACTACTGACAAAGTAGAATTACAGGAATCTGAAATACCCAATATATCTGACCAGAATGTTGTTTTCACAGTGTCATCAATTCATGAAGTAACAAGTGATGTAACCCAACATGGCGATAATGATGAATCTGAGTATCTGACTGTTTTTAAATCCACACAATCACCAACAATAATCTCCGATCTTGACGAAGTTACTGAGAAGTACTTCACTTCAGGTGAAGTAACTGTTGAACCTGTTGGTTTTACACAACTCTACAACAAACAATCAGAATATACTAGTGAATATCCAGAGCCATCAGAAGAATGCAAACTCACAGAAAAACAAGATGTCAAGAAATCTGAATCGACTGTAACAGAAGAAGATAATGGTATACCTGATGAAAGAAGTTGTTTGGTTGACGGGCAAACATATAAGAACAACTCTAATGTCCCTCCATTCAATCAGTGCCAACTATCATGTAAATGCGTCAGTTCAATTCTTCAATGTGAATCTGTTCACTGCATGGTACCTCCCTGCAATTCGGAAGACTGTATGCCAGTCTTTCGTTCGCCTGGTAGCTGTTGTTCAACCTATAGTTGTAAGTATTATATCTTTCTAGGTTAGGTACGTTAGGTACAAAGTGAGTGGGTCTATTCGGCCCTCCATCGCAACCCGCACTCGACCAAATAAACTCAAGATTCTTAACGAAGCCAATTGTTTGTATGGTGAGTGGTCTTTCAGGTCAGATGGTAAGAGTACGGCTCTGCCGAACTCTCAAAACCTGATTCAGTCCCCAGCGGGGCAGGCACAAAGTATGTGTTCTGCTGTTTCATCATTTTCCAAACGGAGGCGACAAAAACTGTCTTCTGACATTCCGAGTCTCTGCATATGATGATTCAAATGACAGTGACCTGTTAGACATCTTAGTTCATTCCTACTGTAGTCCAACAACTGTTTGATATCAAGCTTCGAAGGGTGAATAAACGCCTAAGAGTGAGCCAATCTTGGAAGATTCTGCCAGAAGTCAATAAATATTCTTGCCATCCATGTGTTCAATCTTTGTTTGGCAAAGCCTAAAGCGATGCCAGTGACAGGTTCTGGTCCGATGAAGCTACTTGCCGCACCCTACTTTGCAAGGGAGACAGTAGCCTCATTGCCTTCCAGGTCAGTATGGCCAGGAATCCAGACCAGAAACAATCTCTTAAGTCTTCCTATCGAGGAGAGTCGTTTTTGGCAATTTTCTACCAATTTAGACGTTGCTCGGTAGGAACCAAGAGCTACCAACGCCGCCTGACTGTCCGAGAATATTTTTATTGACTTGTGTATGAGGTTGGATTCTACTAATCTCTCCGCACACAATTCACTAGTGTAAATTTCCGTTCCAATTTTCTCCTCCTGGTGAAGGGGATTATGACAGTTTTGATGGGATTGACATACATCTGCTCCCTCAGACACCAATTGTGAACAACGTCCATCGTGCTTTGGAAAAGATTACAAGTTACCCTTCCCGACGTGGACTTTGCCAAGATGACAAGGTTATCTGCATAATCTTGCAGATATACTTTTCTTCTGTCGGGGGCATCAAGCAGACTATCCATCAGGAGCGACCACAGAAGGGTAGATAGTATCCCACCTTAAGGGCAGCCTCTGGTAACCTTGAACCTAATGGCCTCACTTTGAAGAGTCGTAGTTGCAGTTCTGTTTACCAGCATGGCATAGATCCAGGAGGCATATAATGCCACCCTCCTGATGTGTCCGCCCAGTATCCTCTCAAGTCCTTTCAACAGGAAGGATGTGAGGCTGATTGGTCGTACCGATTTAGGGTGTGGGTCTTTCCGACCCACTTTAGGTATATATACCCTCCTTGCTGCCAAACAACTGGGTGGTATATAATTCCACGCCAGATTAGCTCTATACAATTTCATGAGCATCTATGAACATTCAGTTCACAGTTCGAAACAGATATAGAGAAACAGATAAATTTCTCAACCTGACCATTACACACAATCAGAATACATTTGAGTTCAATGTTTTCAAAAAACCTAGCTATACAGTCATTAACATCCCAAGTGATTATTCTTTCCATCCTTACAGTCATAAATGTGCAGCCTACAATTCAAAGTTGCACAGAGCATTCTCGCTGGCTTTGTCTGCTAACAATCTACCTAGGGAAATTGATATAATTACACAGATAGGCCATAATAAGGGTTTCAACGCAAATACAATCCAGAAGTTAGTCAGAACACAAAGCCGTAAATTCACTTACACATTAATATACCCCCAGATCAAACAATCAGAACTCTAATTGCAGAAATCTTCAGAAAAAACAATGTGGAAGTGGCATTCAGTTTATCTGATTTCTTTCTCAATGCCAAAGATAAAGTGGACAAGTTGGAAAATCTGGAGTTTATAACTTGAGTGTCTGGATGTAATAAGATCCTTCAGACTAGGTAAAAATGATTCGACGTTTTCAAACCATTGGCATGCAACCACAAGTTTCCGAATCTAAACGATACGGAAATTTTGCACCATGCAAGGAAGGGTTGCAAACTCTATTATTTGGAATCCTTGGAAATTCACAAGAATACACATTGCGGGTGCAACCTTTTAAATGATCAAATCGATTTAGTTTACTCCCCAGTTTTCAAATTAGCATATCCACTTTGTCACTAGTAAACAAAATTCAGATACTCTATGGTCAGTAGATACAGACCAATGATGTATCTTGTAGCTCAGAGAATGTGAGCTGATGGTTAGTCTAATACCTCTTGCCTATTACTAGTGACAAAAGTTGGTTCCGAGCCCTCATTAATTACAGGCAGCCCTTCTAGTATATAATCACCTGTATGGTTCATATTCGTGCTGCCACACGCTGTATGGTGTGAATTGGCGTCACATCCCATTACGATTTGAAGTTTGTTCCTTTTGCTGTAGTCGATAAGTCGTCTAACCGAATCTCCCGGAAAGTAGGCGGAGCAGGCGATAATATCCGTCTTACCCTTCTTGCCCGATAGGGATGGATGGCTACCACGTCTTGGGTACAGAAGCCTGTAAGCAAAAAATAATTAATACCCTTCCTGATGATGCTCTGGGTTTTACCCCAGGGCACGCTATTACTTCACCGGTTACTCGGTTTGTATTTCCTGTCCGTGGTTCCTGCAAGAAAGCAAGGTCGATTAATTCGTCCTTGAAGTTTTCACCAAGGACGTATGAAGCGGCCTTGACATGTAAGTTTGCCTGCAAAACACTTGTAGTTGACGAAGTGTTGCAGCAAACTTAGAACTCCACGACCCTAAGAGGGAGGAGATGGAGGATCCTCGAGGACACCTCCACCCTCCTCTCCCAGGATCGAGGGATGAGTACGCTCAGATGAGGTGAGGACACCTGCCGTCTCTGAGTTACCTGTTGGGTTTTTGGATCCCTTTGACGGGACGAAGAGCCAAGTCCAGCCTTTTTCCCTGGTTTTCTCGACGAGACGTTAGTCGTCTTCGTCTCCTGAGAACCAACTGTTTTCCCAGCCTTGGGATGGGTGTGAGCCGCTGGTTTGCCTCTATGTTTGGGTGGAGGTTTGATTGAACTCCTCCCCATAGGTGGATTTCCACTCGGCCCCGTTTTATTTACTCTAACGGGTACACCAGAGTAACTCGGTTGAGTAGTTTTCTGCTGGGAGGGTGTCCGGGTTTTAGGGCGAAATAAGACCTGCCCAAAATCAAAATGTGGTCTGAAACCCATCCTCACCAGCACGGCTAAGCATTCATCGTCAACAGCAAAGGTCCGTGTTTGACCAGGGCGTGACTTTTTTGTGGAGAATAGTCCACTGCAAGGTTGACAGACCACGGTTCATTTTCTTCTCTCTAGTGAAGACCTGGTCGGAGGTCAGTCTGTGACTGCCTCCGTCAGGTAGGTAAGCAACACAGATGTGTTGCTTCGGAAATTGGTCCCCTGTGACGCATTTCAGAGAAACGCCCTCCCACGGTTGAAGGGTATTAATCACACCTGCAAGCCAGTCGGCGCTAAACTGATCCTCACAGTCAACCTGAAACCATCCAGGCCGAAAAACGCAGCTCTGGAATTGTACATGTGGCCCATCATCTGAAATAACCTCTTCAGCCGACAAAAAAGCTTCCTGAAGAAATTCCACCTGATTGGCCGTTAATGAGGAAGTCGGATAATCAAGGTGCAAGATTCCCACCTTGATACCCGCGACAACCTTCCCATATGAGGGTTTTTGCACGTCGGCTACACCTGACGATGCCTCATATTCAGTCGTGCAGGGATTTTTCGCCTCTGGTTTCGGTGAATCATCATTTGGTCGGTGTACGCAGATTCTGCGTACACCGCTCAAGAATTTGGTGAAAGGCGTTTTCATAAGGTACTTCGCTCTTGAGGAAACGACTCAGTCGTTTCCTGGCTGCACCAGCAATGTTTTCTAAGGTTCAGTTATTGGATCAGGAGTTGGAGAGTTGAGAAGCTCTCGCTCCTGATCTGAAGTTACAGGAAGGTCAGTTGGAGTCGGAAGCTCGACATCCATCTCCTCTGTTGACTCAGCGTCAGAAAGAATTTTTGAATTTACTCTGTCCATTAAAGTCCCACGAGTAGCTAGCCCTAAAAACTTTCGCACCACTCTAAGACCGCTGCCTCAGGCGAAGAGCTCCCAGAACTTTCTGTCTTTTCTCTTTTCACAAGCCAGGAAGAAAATCACGAGTGCCTCGCCCCTCGCGTTTCTCAAACCGTTATCTTTTCATCGTTGTCCCCGTATGACGTAGGTCATCAAAAACATCTTTCGATGATTTCACAAAATTTTCAATTCTGGGATATTGATATGCCCATATTAACATTTCGAGCTACGTGATAATTATATCTGTCTGGGCATCTTTTCACGCCGATGAATAGTGTTTATATTAACACTCTCGGTCCCTCGGACATAATTTAACGTTTTATGAGAGACAGTTACGGCGTTTAAAAATAATCTGAATTGAAATATGTCTCTTCCCGAATTTATAATTTATATTACCATACATAGCTTTCGCTAGGTATTACAATCTCAAAGGTTCCGTTAGAGACAGCTGATAGGCTCAGTGTCATTCATCCTCTCGGCACAGATACAACAACCTTAGGATTAAGCCATTGTTGGGTGAATAACAGAACCACAACCCCTACATCCCAAGCCAATGCACTTGCAAAAACAACAGGCACAGTGATTCAGGCAGTGAAAGATGAACAAGGCAGCCAACCCGCCAATTATCTATCTAACTCCTATTTTGTTTCAGCGATTCCCAGTGCCACTAGCGTTATAAAATGGGATAATCATATTTTTGAAAAAACAACTACTGACCAAAAAATTGAGAAACGTGAAACTACAAGCCAAAGTGCCAGAGATCAAGCATCAGTTGCAACTATAACTACAAAACATGAAAAAGAAGAAAAAATTCCTGAATCGTTTACTGAAAAAGAGTCTGAGGAACCCATGCCATTACTTGATAATTTCGATAATGAAATTCCTGACGAGCATGTCGAAGAGCTTTATGTCATTCCTGAACATTATGGTACAGAAGGCTGTTCAGCTATTGGGTCTCAGACTACCGAACAAGCTATCAGTAAGCAAGTTGAAACCAAAACGAAAAAAAATTCGGTGACCAAATCCTCTCCAGATGGAAATGAAGAAAAATATACACAACAGCCTATCAAAAACTCTTTCGATGGGAAAAATCTACTTACAGTAACTGAGAAAAAAGACTTAAATGAAACAGAAGGAACCGAATTTTCTTTTGCAACCGAAATCATAATTGAAATACAGCCTGAGAAGGAATTTGCAAATGCAGAAATGCAAGTTCTGTAGAAAATGTTATCTCAATCATCATAAAATATGATATTATTACAAAAATACTTTTGCTACCTGAAAAATACTCAATAATGGAAGACATGACCACTTACTAACCCAAGCAAACTGTATCAAATAAAGCACGTGATAGACACCCTTCAGAAGACAGCAAATTAGGACCAGAAACTACAATCTTACTTATCCCCAATACTGATTATGAATTGAAAGAGTACTATAGAATTAGTAATAATGTTTAGTTACCAAGTGCATGGATATGGTGAAGTTTACAGAATAAACCTACAGTAAACAAACATGAATCCCACAGAAACTCGAGGTTGTACATGGGAATCCGGTGAGTACACATGTATCATAGCCATAAAATGCAATTTCCATGTCAGTTGGCAATTAAATAATTATTCCTTTTACATATGTATACCTTAATTGATGAATTTATTTGATAACACGAATTTAAATCATTTACAATTCAGGAAATCATGTACATTATTTCTCTGCAAACTGAATATATATTGTTTTATCCTTTTTTTGATGACACTGATAGAATTCGTCATGATTATTTCTTTTTTCAAGTTTTCAAGAACATGGTTGAATACCCTTTGGCATAAGTAATAGTGATTTCTCTGGCCAAGATTCCTTTTAGTTTTGTAGTTGTTTTCGTATACAAATTTGATTTTTGTCTAGTTTGGTAAGTGTGGTCTAATTTTTGTAGTATGTTATTTTTGTTTTTGTAGGTATGTAACATAATGTTGAAAAAGTGGAGTTGCCTCAAGTCATAAATCTTTGTTTCAGTAAATAGTCTTTCAGATGGGTAATTCCTCACTTTTTTATAGATAATTTTTAGGAAGTATTTTTGCAATATTATTAACTGTTTCAGGTGTACTTCTAAGGCACTTCCCCAAACCAGGATTCCATTATACTTTCCATAAAACAAGAGCTTCATGTACTCGAACAAAGGCAAGCAGTAATCAGATTCATGTGGGTCCCATCCTCATGAGGGCATCCCAGGCAATGAAAGAGCAGATCAACTGGCGAAAGCAGCCATCTCAAATCCATTGACTTATACTGAACTCAAAATAAATCACATTGACCTGAAATCTTTCTACAAACAAGAAATCATCAACAATTGGCAACATCAGTGGTACAATTCCACCTCTGAGCTAGCAGAAGTAAAAACAGTACTCCCATGGAAAAATATTCCCAAAAACAGAAGACACCAAGTAATCCTGACTCATTTGCGACTGGGACATACCCGCTTAACACATGAATACCTCATAACAGGTGGTGACAAACCAAGATGTGAAGTGTGTGGAACAGACCTGAGTGTAAAACACATTCTAACAGAATGCGTGCTATATCACATCGACAGACTTACTCATCGTATCCCACAAACAATGAAAGACATATTTGGTGAAAATTGTGACACTGAACAATTGATAGCTTTCCTCAAAGATATACACATTTTACGACATATATTGTATTATGCCGTTGCTAATAACCCTAGCGGATGATGCAACTTTCTTTAAATAAAAAAAAAATACAAATAAAAACGTACTTTGGTTGAGAAGAAAAATATAGAATGTGTTAGTTATTTAACTCGTTTTTAAGCCCAAAACAAAAAAAATTAAAATAAGTTTGAGAAACTAAATATTCGTAACAGAATGTCAATAAGCGCATTTCATACTATTAAGTTGTGTTGACTCAGTTTTCACAATTAAATTGTGTGTAATAAATCAACTAAGCATCATCTATTCATTTCATTTGCCATACATATATAAAACAAACAATACATACAAATTAACAAAATTTTACACACATATTCACAATGACTTCTGGTTGACTTTCTATTGAAACTTCAAATCCAGAACTAGTTTCAGTAACCCAGTCTATAGTTTTTAATTTAGCTTAATTTCTGCTATTTTATTCGTTCCATGGCCTGCAGCATTGGTAGCGACCTCAAGTCCATGATGTAATTCAGTTACAGCTTCTCGATAAGACATAGGCTGTAATTCAGTCATTCTCTCTTCTGAGTCATGATGAACTGTGGTCACAGGTTTAGTTACTGAAAGAGGTATAGCCTCCTCAGTGATAGATTCACGAACTCTGGACATATCTTTCACACTTTCTGATTTGTCAGTTATCACTTCATGGTATTTTGTTACTTTTTCTTCTCTTTCCACTGAATGTTCAGTGATAGCCGGAACTGATTTTTCATAACTGATCTCAGTTGATTTTTTCTCATCATAAACTGTTTTTCTGGTACTTCAGTTCCACGTTCTATAGCATCCGTCATATGATCAGCAGATCATGGATATTATGGAATTTTCAATTTTAGTGACAAAATCTGAAAAATTTATAGCTGTTACCTTTTCGGTTTCACCAATTGTTTCTGTTTTTTTTTCAGGTTTAAAAAATGTGGTATATACAGTGTGACCCATTTAAGATGGAAGCACCCTTATAAAACTTACTTTTTTTAACCGATTGGAATGATTTTTTTTTGTTAGGTAGATATTCAAAAAGTCTATTAGGACACCAAATATCATGAATAAATCTCAATTTCCAGGGCCAACTAATCTTATTTTTCAAGGTCAAAAATCTAAAAAAATTACTAGCGATTTTTTTAGAAAAACTCTGACTACACCACTGGATTTGTGACATTTTCAAATGGGTAACATGTAAATTACGTTGAAATGCGTCAATCAATAAAAAAGTTATAAAGGAATGAAATTTGAAAAATATGCCGTTTAATCAACCCACCAATTCATGTTCAGGAATTTTATGAAAATTCTGTATACTCCACTGGATTCAGGATGTCTTGAAATATTACTGATCACAGTTTCATCGAAATCTGTTCGGTAATAAAAAAGTTATAAAGGAATAAAATTTGAAAAATATGTTGTTCAATGGAATTTTAGCAACGTTCTTACTACACCACTGGATTAGGGGCAATATTCAACAAAATATTATTTATTCAAATAAAATTCATGAAACGTTTATGGGAGAATCAATTTCCTTTCATAATGTATGTCGAACCATATCAATCAATCAGTTTATCACAACAAACTTTAGTGTCAATAATTTCAAATGAATCTACAAAAAACTAACTGTAAGTACATTTTTCTAATTGCTACNATTTCATTCCTTTATAACTTTTTTATTGATTGACGCATTTCAACGTAATTTACATGTTACCCATTTGAAAATGTCACAAATCCAGTGGTGTAGTCAGAGTTTTTCTAAAAAAATCGCTAGTAATTTTTTTAGATTTTTGACCTTGAAAAATAAGATTAGTTGGCCCTGGAAATTGAGATTTATTCATGATATTTGGTGTCCCAATAGACTTTTTGAATATCCACCTAACAAAAAAAAACATTCCAATCGGTTGAAAAATGTAAGTTTTATAAGGGTGCTTCCATCTTAAATGGGTCACACTGTATAAGAATCAAACAATTTAATTGAATACATTAAAAAATATAAATACAAAATATTATATTTTCAACAAACTAAGGAATGCTGAAATCATTATTTGCCATCACTTTGCAAATTTTATCTTATTGGTAACATCTTTGTTGTTTTCTTTCAAAATACGAATACAATATGAAATGAATGCGGTAAATTCTCTGAAAATTTTTAGATATGATAACGTTGCCGATTACCAAGGCAATCAACAGCGCAACCAAAAACCCTTCTATAACTCGATCATGTGCACTGTGATTTAATACCAAAAGGAGATAGTAACACCACTGGGACATTAACATTCTACTGTGCTCTGGCCATAGAACTATAACTCTTAACTCTTAGTTATAGTTATAGTTCTGTAGCTCTGGCACACATACCTTTATGTGTCATACCTCTGGTGTCAAATTGATTCTTTCTTTTTGAATTTGAAATATTTTCATAGGAATTAGGAAATCCACATAGGTTACTTCAAATCTATAAAAGATCAAACTTAAAGCATAATTTTGTGCAACATTACTGTGGTGCTGACTAGTACTATTTTGTATTCATCAAAGTCTGCAATGGCTTCAAGATTATTGAATAAAACTGGTGGTAAAATTTTAAATTCAGTAAGATATAATACCATCTCAGAAGTAAAGAAAGTAGCAAAAGCCGGGATCATAGGTAAACTAAATTATCTTTCAAAAATAAATATGAAAATAATTTTTATGTTTACAGTAGTAGGAGATGAAGTGCTAAAAGGTGTAATTCAAGATACCAACTCAAATTATCTTGCTGTAGAATTACATAAAATTGGGGTAAGATTGAAAAAGGTCAGTATATATGACTTATAAGTGGTTTGTTTTGATCAATTATATTCAGTTGCAATAATTATAGATTTCAGTTATAGGTGACAATATCGAAGAAGTCAGCAAAGAAGTTCGACATTTTTCAGACTCTTTCGATTATGTTCTGACAACGGGTGGGATAGGACCTACTCACGACGATATTACTTATGAAGGTATGCATCTTTAGAACCTATCTATTAATGTGGGACTCTTCAATAATCTCCGTAATGTTTAACAGAGAGGGATTTGGATTAGTCCATGAATTAGTGAATCTACCCTTTTTTTTTAAATGAAAATGAAATTATAAGCTGTACACAAGTTCGTTTTCAGAGTAATAAAAATAAACGATTTCTATAATACTTCTATACTGATATCAATGATGGTGAGGCAGTGTAATTTGCTATTTCAGGTTCTTTCTACTCTCATAGAATATAATAAATAATACTTTTGAATACAGAAAACTGACTTTAAGTTCTTATAAAATAACAGCAACTTTAAACAAAAAAACCATAACATATTGAAAGCATGGCATATATGAATACTATGACATAGCATATTTGAACTGATGCAGAGGTGGTCTGTGCTTTTTTCGAAGCTTTTAATTACGTTCAGGGGTACTGCTACTGAAATACTAGGGATTGAGGAGAGTTTCATTGTTTTTTTCAGTCCTACTCATTGAACAGAAATCATATTGTCAAGACTACTGAATTTTTGGGAAAGGAAGGTTTTGGCTTTTGACTACTTATCAATATTCGTACAAAAAAATGTGGGAATCTTACCAAATAAAAGAAATCAATAAATTATGAAATAAACTATCCACAAAGATGTGTAGATCCGTGTAAAGAAGTAACTTTCAGAAAAGCTCTCTCGAAACAACTACTTTCATATAAACATTAAATTACACAAAACAAAAATACTTTCAAAACAACTACTTTTATATGAACGATGAATTATACAAAAAACATTTTATATTCAGTTTGTACTCCAAACATTCATCATAAAATTGAATCAGATATCATTCAAGGATTGCTACACAATATGAAAGAGGTAAAATTTCACTTACATGACACATTGTTATTCTCAATGGTGGACATCCGATGTTTCGAAATAAGACACTTGCACTCAATTCGTTCATAATTTCTTTCATTTAAAATACTGAATCTCCATTGGAAACTATCAAATCTTATGTTCCACAGGAAAGGGTTCTAGATTCAGTTCTTTTTATACTGTATATCAATGATTTGGAAAGTATACATATATTTGGTGGATTCACATTATATGCTGATGATACCATCATCATTCTGATTGTATCATCACCTGAATCTTCATATCAGGATTTGAAAAAATTGTTAATAGAACCAAAATTTCCAAATGGTGCTAATGTAATATACTTTCTTTTAATATTTAAAAAAATAATCTGATTACATTCAATTGTATTCTTAATCATTTGAATCTCAGTTCAATAAAAATAAAGGATGTAATCTGTTGAAGAACATTTTTCAACATCAACATGATATGGGTATTTTGCTGTTAAGTTGGTATTTAAAGTATCTCAATTTTTATTTTCAACTTGTCAGCCTCATTGTATATTATTCTCTAATTAAATTCCAATTGTGCTATGGTATTGCATTGTGCTGAATTTTCAGTAGTTACTTTAAAACCATGACCATGAAGTGAATATAATACAGCATATTTTTTGTCTCTGTTCATCATGAATTGGTTAAAAGTTATCTGTCTTTCAGTATTTCAAATTCATTTTTATTCAAGCGGTGGCAAAAGCATTCAATGAAAAACTTGTCTTGAACACGGAGCTGAAGGACATATGTTTGAAGTTCTATGATACAATTGATATAAATTGTCCTGGAATGAAAATGGCTTATGTAAGTATTTCAATAATTTAATAGTATTCATGTTTCATCTATAAAATAAAAAAAAAATTATTTCAGAATCAGTCTAATTTAACCCTTAACTGGTAACGTGCCGTCTGTGGGACTGCGCTCAAATTCATTTTTAGGATTATTGCAAAATGGTAAATTTCTAGAACCAATGTATTGTGTTATTTGCTTCCCCTGACGGCAGCGTACTACTGAGCTATCGATGATAGTTCTTTTCAATCAATCCCTCAGACGGCTCGGAATGGTTAATGTGACCATTTTTCATCAAGTGTAAGCAAGCGGCATGGCCGCAACATCACTGCAGACAACTGGTTTTCGTCTGTAGAATTAGCAGGTATCTTGTTGAAAAATAAGCTTACCTAGGTAGGTACATTGAGAAAACAATAAAAGAGGAATTCCACCTTGTTTTCTGAGAAGTTGGATCAAATTTGTACGGATTTCGTGAAGAATCTACAATTATTTGACATGTTGGACGAAAAAACAAGGCAACTATACTTTTATCAACAATACATGATAGAATATTTACCGATTCAGAAACAAAAATACCCGAAATAATAAAATATTACAATGTTGATAAAGGAGAAGTTGATTCTCTCGATAAAAATGTGCCAAGAGTTCTTGTAGTCGGCGTACACGGAGATGGCAATTAACTATTTTCTTTCGTATACTGGATATTTCTGTGGTGAATTCTTATATCTTACACCAGACCCCAGTGTTATAATCAAAACGAACAAATAAAAAAAAGTCTGTTTTTGCCAAAAAATTGGGGCTGCAAAGCTTGTTCAGGAAAATATGGAAAGGCGTCTGCAATATCCCCGTTTATCTCGTGAGTTACGTTTTGTTGTGTGCCGCATCCTCGGAAGACCTGTTGAAAATGTTCTTGCGGGAAATGAAAATTTTGCTTTGGAGAAGCGAAAAGTGTGTTTTTTATGTCACAAAACTACCCATCGAATGACAAAATATTTATGTGTGGACTGTAGAAAGCCAGTATGTTTACAGTGTTCCAAGCCAAAATGTACGAGTTGCACAAATAATCAATAAGTTTGGCATTCGCTGAAACATTTTTAGAGATGTGTTTCAAAAGTTTTTTTAGTATTCGTTTCTTCATGACTTCTTTTTGTGATAATTAACCTAAGTTTATTAAATTTGAAGTTTATGTACTTTTTTTGACTTTGAAATAAAACATGTGAATTTTTCAGTACTTTATTTTATTTAATGACATTTTAGTTCATGATTTTTTTTCTATTGAATAATATAATATTCCTGAAAGGGTGTGTTAGAGAGCATTATCAATATGAGCACTCTTGAAAATTCGGGCAAAAAAGAGAAAGTTGCTTTTATTGTACGTTTTCAAAAATTCCCATACTCACAGAGGGCACGTTACCAGATGTGATCTTAAATTTGACGTTACCACTTAAGGGTTAATATAGTTTGTATATGACTGCCTCATGATACTGTTAACAACCTGGTTTCTCAGAATGATGTTTTTTCAAATAATGTTTGGCAGCTATAGTTACTATTTATCTCAAATGTTATGAGAACATTTTCTGAATGTTTAATAATATTCAAAGACTAAAAAGGAAATATTTACTTGAACGGGACAACAGTTATAGTTATCACAACAATGGTTTAATAAATTATAAAAAAATATTTTTTATCCATTGACTATCAGCTACTTTTTTCCAACAATTTGTATTCTTATATTTCATGAAAAGATGTCACTATACTTTTTTAATTGTGCCAAAAAAAGTAATGATAAATTATCCATGTCAACAGTTCATTAATTTGAACTTTCAGATACCAGAGTCATCAAAGTTGAATTTCAAAGCAGGAATTCAAGGTCCAAAAATGAACTATCCAAATGTTTCCGTCAATAATGTATTCATATTTCCTGGTGTACCGGAAATGATGAAGAAGTCATTCAGCATCGTAAAGGAGGTATTCCAATCAAATGAAAAATTTTATGCAGAATTTGTTTATCTTACTGTACCAGAAATTGAAATCATCAATATCTTAGAAACTGTAGTGAAAGAATTTCCAAATGTAGAGGTTGGAGTATATCCAGTACTATTTAATAAGTAAGTTTTCCCTTCATAAACCTCATTGTGAATGTTTCAGTTCAGTGCATAGCTTGAGAGTTTGAAACATAATGAGTTATCAGATCATCAAAAGTTTCACTCAAGAATGATGTTTCATTGGACATATTTTGAAATAAATGTATCTAGTTCAAATGGAAAGGGGTATATTTTTAGGGGGGATTAGTGTTTGGGGAAAAAAGTTTTTAGCTTTTAGAGTATTCTAAAATATAAACAGCACCCATCTAAATTTCAAAATTATCAAGATTTAAATGGAGATGACAATAACCGCCTTTTGCCTTTTACCATTTTGTGAAATAATGTCCAACATAATTATAGTTATTGGTTTGACACGTATCCAAAGATATACTATGAGGTTCTTACTCAACATCCTCAAAAATTTAACATTTGGTCAACATTACCATGAAGAAGATCCGATATTTCAGCAAGACGGGGCTCCTCTTCATCAAACATTATCTGTATGGCAAATTCTGGATGAAACATTTCTTGGTAAATGAATTGGGGGAAGGGGTGCTATAGAGTGTCCTGCGGGATCACCCAATATCTTCCTTTGATTTTTTATGGGAAATCTGGAATTGAAAATTTGTACAACCCAGCCTGAATCTTTAAAAGATTTGCGGAATTGTATCAATAATGAATGCCGACAAATAATACATAATATTCTTCACAATGTCCAGAAACACTTTGATCAATTGTTGTACTATTGTATGAAGGTGAACAGCAGACATATTCAACACATGTTGAGATAACATAAGTATTAATCAATAATTTGAATCAAATTTCTCTGGAACCTACAGCTAGGGGATTGAAGTTACAGTAATATAATTGATATATAAATATGTTTCCCAGAAAACAAAAGTATACGCTTCAAGGACATTTTATGTTCACATACAAAGCCATAAACCATGCTGCGCTGGTTCTCATTGCGATTCAATTCTGAAGGTCATATATTTACATATTTTTTGTCAGTTCTTGCACAACGTACAAAGATCTAATTGAAAAAATGTTCATGAAATCTTTCTTAGTTACGTTAACTCTTTGTCCAAGAAAAGGAGGTCCAGAGTGGGAAAAAACAGAAACCCTGGGGGATACAGAGCCGTTTAAAGTAGAAAAAAGTTTCTCATTTTAGAGCTTATTTGAATAAACGTGTTGATATGCGAATACTCAAGGGTGTAAGTCTACATGGAAACATAACGATAGGTTGCTTTATAAACTATGGTCCAAAAATGGTTCGAAAATACGAAATGTTGGATTTTTAAGAAAAAAATGGAAATTATTTAATATTTTCGAAACCATGTGGCAATTTTTAGTGATATTTGGTAAGCAATGACAGTTGATAAAAGTTTATATTTTTCAATCAAAAAAATTATTTTCAACTTCAACAGTGACGTGATTTACTTCCATATTTTTTAAGAAAAAAAATTATACGTCTATCGATTTTTCTCGATTAAAATTAATTTTTGAACTCCAAGTTGAACTTGTCCCAAAATGTATTGGAAAATTTTATTGTATTGAATAGTAGGCAGTGACACTTAATAAAAATGAAGCTGCAATTTTTTTGATACAAAATGAATTCAACAGTGGCATGCTTTTGACTATTACCTTCGATATTTTTTTACCAGTACATTAAATGTTTGTTTCCAAATAAAGATTAGTTTTTACGCCCCCCCCCCCCGTTCAATTTGTACATGCCGTTTTTGAGTAAATATATTAGATGCATTTGAGAGGTGTTGTCAAGTTTATTCACTTCACTTCAATTTCTCAAACGCATTCGACAGTGGTAATCATGACTGGATCAATAAACTGGAATCTTTTGGATTTATTGGTACCATACTACTGTGGATTGAAGTTTTTTGATGGATAAAATTCAGTGGGTGAAAATTAAATTTTTTATCTCAAACAGATGTTCCATCTGGGGTGCTTCAAGATAGTCATTTTTCGCATAGAAAAATCATATGATGATTGTTTGAGACTTCAAGATGACCTTAACCATTTTGGTGGATGGTGCAGAATCTTTTGTTTGGATCATAATTTTGATTAATGTCTAGTTATCTAGGAACATTTCATCAACTCCCTCCCACTTAACTAAGTGAAATAATTCAAAGATCTTGCCTTTATATTCAATACAAAATTATAATTTTATTCTTTTATCATTAGAATATCTTACTTCAATGTCTAAATTTTTCAGGTTACATATCGAAAATTAGTAATAAGTTCTCAGTTAATATATTTAAACATCTTTTTTATTCATTAATAAGGTCGAATTTGGAATACACCTCTATAGTGTGGTGCCCTTTTTATTCTACAAAATTTCACTGGAAAAACTTAAAATTATTTTTTTAAAACTGCCATTTTCCAAATGGGTTTGTGGTTGACTTACTTTCCATTCGAAAACAGACACTTTTTCCAAACACCAGAACTTCAACACTATTCTCGACGCGCGTTTCACCGACTAAGTTGACTCCTTCAGGAGTTGAAGTACTCTAAGTCCTAAATCTAAAACTGGTTTCTATTTATATCTAACAGTATACACATTCACTATCCGACAAACATCAATGATTTCAGTGTGTCGGAAAGTGAAAGTATATCCTATTAGAATAAATAGAGAATAGTTTTACAGTTAGGAATTGGTTTATTTCATCTCCTGAAGATGCCAACTTGGTGAAACGCGAGTCGAGAAGAGTGTTGAAGTTCTGGTGGTTGGGAGAAAAGTGCTTGTTTTGAATTTATACTATACCAGAGGTTCCAAGTCTACCGTTCATCACTGTTTCTTCACAAAATGTTGTCAGGGCACTTTTATTGTCCTGAATTACTCAATTGGATAAACTTTAAGATCACAGTCAGAGGTACAAGGGATGATAAAACTGTCTTCATAGTTAACACTCACATTACAAACTATAGTTATAATTAGTCCTTTATCAAGAGTTTTAAGAGAGGCCAACGAGTCGGTTCTGATTTAAAAAAAATTATTTTAGGAAAGCATTCCGACATGTAGTAAAAAAATATGTATTTACATCCTAATTCATCATAATAAAATTAGTTGGTTAGGTTTTTGAATATTATGAGTGTTAGTATCCTTTTTACTAATGAAAAGAATGTAATTATAGGCGCCCTCCTGTTTTATAGGTACCTATGAATAAATTGTAATAATATCTTCCATAATTGTTTCATGAAGAAATTGTAGCATTAGAAACTTTTAAAGGTTCATATAGTCAGCGTGACGTCAGAGTTCCTTTTCCACATGTAAAACTAATATTCATGGAATCTAGATACCATTTAGATGTGTTTCCATACCGTTTTTATACTGCCTTGAACACCTTGTTATAGCTTAATCATTGGTTGAATAATGCATTTGTCAAATTTGGACCATTAGCAAAAGTACAATCAGGAGCCTTGGTGCAGCTTGAGAAAAGACATATAGGGCGTTCAAATGAAACCTGGACCCCCCCTGTAAGTCAGAAAAGGACGTGTAATCAAAAATTTCAAAGAACACGTCAATTTTTAATTCTAGGGGGACTAATTCTGATATGGAAATCATACCCAAAACTTCACCCCCCTGCGGTCAGCAACTACTCCCCCTATTTTTTTCAATGGCATGGGGGGTCGAGTGATACATCATTTGAAATATCTTTTGTCTCTCTATTACTTCTGTATTTTTTTTCAAAATTGGTCCATTCGTTATTGGGAAATTAAATGTTGAACGTTTTTTTTTAAGAAAATTCTCTGTCGCTCATTTTATTGAGGCAGCAGATCGATTACAGGGAGCTATCATCTCTACGTATAACGAACATTGTCCCATAGCAAACCAGAGATCAAACAGGAATGTGCCCTGGTGGAATGAAGATCTGGCGAGTATGAGACAAAAAACTAGAAATGCCTTCAAATGTGCAAGGAAATCAGATTCATGGGACCAATACAGAAGGTCCCTAACTGAGTATTACAAAGTCCTGAGAAAATCCAAGAGAGATACGTGGAGAAGGCAATGTGAGGAGGTCGAACAGACCCAAGCATGTGACAGGCTCTACAAAATACTCTCGAAGGAACCTCAGGTCTCAATAAATAATCTGAACACAAATACGGGGGAGTATACAAAAACCGGAGAAGAGACTATTAGAGAGCTTTTCCGGGTACACTTTCCCGGGACAGAAATTACAAATCTAACACCGGAGTCCTGGGCCTTATTCAGAACTGTCAAATGACACGATGTTTCAATTTTGTGCTGCCCAACACCAATTCAATTGGTAGTTCACCAAGTACATTGGCTGGCTCCCCTGTTGCAGTGCGTAACTTCCAGCTTGACGGTTCAATTCTTGCTGGTGTTTTGGCAAAGGTTGGCCCAAGAATGGTTCTCGTCGCACCTGTATCTAGCAGCATGTTGCAAAGCTCGTTATACTGATTTTTTTCCGGAAGAATCCAGTTCTCTCTCCTCCAATTCTTGCTTCAATTCGGCAACTTTCAAGTCCACTAGGCGTACTTTCCTTGAACACATTTTATCTCTTACTGTCTATTTTACTCAAAACTGAATATGTCCACTTATTTAATGTCCGAAACACTTATTTATTTTCACAAGTCTATTTTTCGCGAGAAAGGTCTATCAGTTTATATTTCCGTCGTGCGGTACTGTCCGCTTCGCGAAACACCAGTCTATCTGCGCGAAAGTGCGAAAGATTCATAGTCAATTTCACTGTGATACAAAAATTGTCCACCAAGCGCTCACAAATTTATTTTGAAAATCCACTTCTGATCACCAATTGTAACGAATTAAAGAATTAACTGTCTTAATCAAATTTATTTTTAACAATATTTCACTATCACAACTGATTTATATACAACACTTAGTAACTAACGCTTAATTTATCTTCACAATTAGATTCTTTTCCTTAAACGCACGATTCGCTTTCTAAGTACAGACTACTCCTCGGGACGGAGAGCGACCTTTTTATATCGTCAACGAACGTTCCGGATTTCTCTGCGGATTTCGGGACCCATCCACACCTTTCCCGCTGGGTCGCGATCAGACATGCGTTTGCTGACTGGGACATCGGTCAGGGCCGGCTTCAGATTCATTACAGTATTATAAATTCTTGCAGCAGCTTTAGCATATTCATTATTTCGATAATAGGTTGCAACAATTTCTGTTTTTTCTTCAGTAGAATAAACCATGTTGGAACACAGTGAACAAGAATGCCTCTGAATAATAATTCGTGAAGTGACAGTGCCCAACTATCTACTTTTTGATCTGCGACAATTAGAATCAACAAAAACTACCAGTGCAGAAAACACTAAGTGTCGTCCATTTCAAAACGTTTCAGAAGACCTGCGACAGAGAATTGTTCGGGAATGCCTATTTCTGACTCCGGACATCTTGAATAATGTACGGAACGCTTTCGAGAGTAGACTGTATTATTGTATGGAACTAGATGGAGGTCATTTTGAACACTTTATCCGTTGATTGTGTTGCCATTGATATTAATAATAATAATACTTTTATTGCAAAACGATCATTACAGGACACAGCAAACGTCAGGTACAGGTTTAAAAAAGCAAGTTAAAATGTATTTACAATGTCTATAAATTGGGGGGGATGAAAATATTTAAATATTGAGGTACGGTACAAATCTTAAAATGTTAAAACAGTATTCTAATACAAAGACAAGAATTTAAGTATATAGCTGAATTTAAAAATCTGAGAAGCACAGTTGAAAGAGTATCTAAAACTAATACGCGTTATTACATCCAACAATTAAAAGAATAGTAGCGTTTCTGCTTCAAGTAACTTATGACAGAACTCCTGAACCTCTTCAGACCTTTGATATCTTTCAGTACTTGAGGTAGTGAGGTGTATGCTTTGATTGCTTGGTAGTTTGTGCCTTTCTCATAATAAGTTGATTTATGGTAAGGGACAGATAGCTCATTTCGATGTCTAGTGTGGAGGTTCATATTAGTAGAAAATTGATCAGCATTTGTAGGAAACAGATGGGGATATTTCTTTACAAAGTTGATAAGGCCCAGAAAATACAATGAAGGCACTGTCAAGATGTCTAGTTCAGAAAAGTATGTCCTACATGGAGTATTACGACTCAATCCTAGTATACATCTCATAATTTTCTTTAGTGTTATGAATATTCTTTGTGAGCTTGATGAAGAGCACCAAAATATGATCCCATAGGAAATAATTGACTGAACATGAGCATAGTAATATGTTCACAAACAGCTGACTGATACTTGGTCCCGTAGATATCGTATAACTCCACAGATGGAGTTCAGCCTACTATTCAAGATGTTTATGTGTGAATCCCAGCTGAGGGTTGGATCTAGTATAACGCCCAGGAATTGTATATGATCTGATATTGGAATCGATTTGCAGTTAAATTTCACAAGTGGGGATGATTCAAAGTTATTTCTTTTACTGAATGTTATTAGTCCCGTTTTTCCAACATTCAACTTAAGAGCATTTCCTTGACACCACATGCTCATGCTTTGTGCGACATTTGAAGCTTTTGTTGAGAGCTCCAACATATTACTTTCGTTGATTTCCTCAATAAAATGAGCGACGACGAACTTTTTGTTTTTTCTTAAATAAAACGTTCAACATTTAATTCCTCAATAACGAATGAACCAATTAAAAAAAAAACAGAAGTAATAGAGGGGCAAAATACCTTTCAAATGATGTATCACTCGACCCCACATGCCATTGAACAAAATAGGGAGGGTGGTTGCTGACCGTAGGGGGGCTAAGCTTCGGGTATGATTTCCATATCAGAATTAGTCCCCCTAGAAAAAAAATTGACGTGTTCCTTGAAATTTTCGATTACACGTCCGTTTCTGACTTACAGGGGAGGTCAAGTTTTCGTTGGAACATCCTGTATATTTTGACAACATAAACTACGTTTGTTGTAAATCATTTATAGTCATCAATAAAAAATATGGATTGTTTATACTGACTCTGTCATCAGTTTCATAATGACCATTTATTTCTTGAAATTTAAAAGTAGAAATACTGTCACTCCAACTCCCCTTCAGTTGACATGTTTATACAGTTGAACTAATTTTAAAAATTTGCATCACCTACTTGAGTAATAAAATGTTTGATTCATATCAACAATTTCATTATTCACGACAAGAACCAGTTATTACACCTTATTTGTGGTTAACAGTGGATCAGGATATAATTTTCAAATTTTGATTTTTAACACGCTTTTATTAGCTTCACCTATATGTATGTATGTTTGTTTGTTTGTAACTCTCAAGCTGGGGATCAGTATTTGAAAGAATTATCGACATTATTGCTTGATCTATTCGCGAGCAGATGGCGCTGTACGTAACCTCCATAATATATCGACATTATTGCTTGATCTATCGACATTATTGCTTGATCTATTCGCGGGTAGGTGGCGCTGTACGTAACCTCCTTGATATAATTCGAACTCACTTCACATGTATTTTTTCATTTGAAAAAAGTATTTTTTTTATTAACACGTGCGCCTACTGCCTTATTTGTAACCCTCCTTTGCGCGCCTGCTGCCTTGGGCTTGGTAGCTGATTTTCAGGCTCCCTCTCTGGAATCGGAAAATATCAATGGTCATTTTTCTAAACAATATACGGTTGATTGCTCCCAAAGTTTAGATAAAATAAATATAGTTTAAAAAGACTAAAAAATACGCTTTTAAAGAACATCGAACTAAAAAGTTAAATTTTCAAAAACTATACCTCACGATTTGATCTCCACAAACTTTATTTGAAAAATATATCACATGTTTCGCTAAGACATTAGCTTTTTCAAGTGATTTATACTTCAAGTTGTTCTTACATTATTATTTATATACTACAGGTAACCATAATTGAGACTACCTCCAAAAAATTTACCTAAACCTCTACCTAACGTACCTGTTCAATTATGATCACCTGAAGCATATTATCTCACATCTACATCAATAATAATTCTTTATCAGTTTTGAAGACTTGATGATATTAAGTCCTTTATCGAAATTATCTATTGAAAGAGGAACATTGACTAATCTGTGAATCATGCTATTATAAGCTGCTACTTTGTGTTGATAAGGATGGGTAGAATCGTAATGTATAGTAATATCCGTATAGGACGGTTTGTGATAAATTGAAAAATAATGTTTGTTGTTCATTCTACTAGTAGAACGAAAAATACTAGTATTATTGTGAAAAAAGCGTGGGTGCTTTGTGCCATATTTTTTGTATATCAAGCGCAGGTCGCTTTTTTCATAATGATACTAGTATATTTCGTGGTTATTGTTTTGAGCTATAAATATAAAATAATTTTAACTTTTCAGTTCGATGTTCTTTAAAAGCATATTTTTCAGTTTTTTAAACTATATTTATTTTCCAATTTGAATGTGCTGATTCAATTATAGATTTTTTCAATGTCTTTTTTTTTGTGCATAAACTCCAAGGCTTTTCTGCATTAATATATTGCACCGCTATTTTTAATTTTTCTTCATCGATATTTTATCTTTCATACTGAAGATTACTTCAACAAGTTGAATTTATTTAAAAAAATAATTTTCTTTTCAGGTTCTACAAAGTTAAAGTAACAATAGAGTCATGTGAAGAAAAATCTACAAGACAGGCCTATGATAGAATGATATCTCTCATACCAAAAGATTTTATTGTTGATAGTGAAAACATCAAGTAGTTTTACTTGTTGGATTCAATAGTGAGATCAATTTGAATTGTGATAATATGTATATTAGATAAATTTATGTTACAAAAAGTACAGTTCATTCAATTATAAATTGAAAGAATTTAGGGAAATTAAGTTTCACAGAAGATTGAAAACATTATATTTCAACTTGAAACTATTGAATTCACTCAATCTTACACGTCTTTATTAGTAGATAGCCGCTTCGTTAGTGAGTTCTATTGAGGGCCGGCTCTATCAATTAAAAGATGAAATGTCCTCCAAATATTGAGGGCTACTTTTCAATATGATTTCAATGTCAATTTCAGGTTCGCCAGAAACTCCAGCAACCGCAATAATGCTAAATATAAGTTTTATCTTCATTTTAATTTTCTTTATCAGGCCTAACACAAATATTTATATGCAACCTTTCACTATTTTCACAAATATATTGCACAATAATTACAGTAATAATCACTACAGAAATAATTACTGTAATAGAAAGTTTTGAGGCAATAAAATGCACTAAACCTGTTTTAGTCAACTGGAATGAACACGGGTTCATATTATCGTTTCCTTATTCTGGAAATGAGCTCAATCAATCAAAATTTGTGTGAATGCATAATTTTAAAAATTGTTCTTTTCAGGAAATGTTATTTAAAATTGGTTAAATTAAGGTGAAATCTCTCGACCCAGGGTTTCAGCATTTTATCATTTTTTGCCGTTCTGTTAAAAGTGACATAGGATGACATAGTTCTCAGCAGAAATACGGGAAAATATATTTGATTTTTTGAGGGGTGCAAACCTGAAGCTCAAACCTACAAAGTGCCATTTCATATGTAAGGAAACTGAATATCTAGGGCACTTTACCTCAGGGGACCTGAGAAAATAGAAAATAGACCTAGAGAAAAAAAGAGGCCATCAGAAACTACCCAGTCCTAGATGCTTTTTTGGGCCCTGTGGATTTTTCCTAAAATTGATAAGAAAACTCATGGAGTTGCCCAGCGTTCAACACAATTAACAAAGTAGAATGTACCTAAAACTGAAACGCAGGAAGTCTTTTCAACCCCTGTAAAATGCTCTTATAACTACGCCAATATTAAAATATCCCAACTTCCAAAAACCATTTATCTCAACGACTAATGCCAGCGAAACTGTCCTCAGCATCATACTCAGCCAGGAGTGTGATGGCCAAGAATTACCAATCAGCTAGAGCAGATATACAGTAGATCATATCTGCGTTGTGTTGAGATAATTTCAGATGATGAGTGTTACTACATTAGCGATGATGGTATTTTGAGCGTGAAAAAAAAAACGAAAGACATGATGAAATTTGAGCATTCTAGATCATAGTATAAGATATATTGCAGTTATAGCATGACGCCCTCTCATCTGCACACAATGGACAACATCGAATAATGGAAATAATGGCAAGATATTTCTAGGTATGGAGTAAGTCATCGTAACATACTGTAATGCTTGTCATATATGTAACTCATAAAAATGGCACTATCGTCCCCCGCTGTTTTGCAAAAAATACTAATATTGTATAAAGGTTTCTGAAGAATTTTGAAGGTTATAGTCGGACCCTTAAACAGAACCAGGAACGGAATTGATTGAATATTTTTCACGGTTACAGCCTGCCTTACCTGGTACCCTGGTGCATATAGTACATAGCTATACCAGGCGCCACAATCACCATGTCACCAAAGCTTTCGTCACCGAGATCATAACGCGTCATGAAGCGCCTAGGCAGTTAAACGACATGGGGAGTCAATTTAATTATAGACTTTTTGAACATCCCCATACCCGCACGTCCCCCCATACCATCCATCTACGAACGGAATGATTGAGAACTAAAGTTCGAACCTGAACCTGATGCTACCACACGTCAGCGAAGAAATATATGGAATGAAAGTCTACCTTTTGACATGATTACCTATAGAATCCACGCAAAAGTTAGAAAAAACAGAAACAAAAGTAAAATATTAACCAGTTACCTTTAAAGTCATGATCAGGACCTTACCGAATTATAAAGCAACTTGGACCCGTAAACTTTCCCATAAAACCAATTAGTGTGGAAAAACAACATAGGGTACAAAACAGACTGAAAAAGTATAAAGGAACATTCGAAGATTCAGACACAACCGCAAGCACAGATTAAGAAGATGGTGAAATTGAAACTGAATGACATAAAGAAGAACAAAACTTGTATGCCACCAAAAACATTCAAAACCATCGCCTACAAATTCTACAAGCCATTTCAGAAGATGAAGAGGGCAGTGAAGCAAATTCCAAAACAAGCAACTCTGAAAAAATAATGCGAAAGAAGATGAGAAAGTCATAGACAAACTTTGAAAACGAAGAAGTAACCGAAAATTGTCACAGTTAGGTATATTACTAGATCCCGTAGGCCTGTAGAAGATCACGCCTAGGTTTTAAGAAAATATAGAAAAGATATAACTCGGAAAGGTCATTGGAACTGTACTTGTAGACATTGGAAGGAAAATTATTTATTGAAAAATAAAATCTTCAATATACTTTTAAAATTTACAACGCTGCAGGATAGAGATGGGTCGGTATTTTGGAGCCCGATTTTGATACCGTACCACAGTACTTCTTTAAGCTTACTTGTGACCGTACCGTCGCGGTATTCAAGAATGATATACGACGGTATTTTGCAAATAGTCTGTATCGCGTCGCTGAGTGTCATGAAACCGAATCTATGTGGGTAAGAATGGAACGCGATCGGAATATTATCCGCAAGCTATTGAGCATCTTTTTGGCATATTAATTATACCCAATTATATAAAAATGTGGAAACTTTCCTGGATTGAGATATCATTTTTTGCTGAATTGAAAATGGCAGTTTCGGTTGATTTTCAGATCAGTCAAAATATGATGCCACATTTTCTTAAAATTATTGTTTGGTTGAATTGAGTAAATAGATACATTTGAAAAATAAACTCCACCTAATGAACACGAATTATCTGAAGTACAATATATGCGTTATATGATACCTTACAGACTAAGCTTTAAAACTTCTAGAACGTTCCATATCGCTTGGTACCGTTGTTCCTTCTCGAGCAGTTTCGCTGTGGAGTATTTATATCGGTATTTTGTCGCCGTATTTCCCAGTAGCGTTCGCCACTTCAGTATGTTGAACAAGTGGGAAGAAGAATGCAACAGGATGTCAAATTTTCAAGAATATCGCGGGTTTGCAGTCCTTGTTATTGAATTGGAGAGGAACAGTACTCACTTCGTTTCAGTAACAATAGCTGGCGAATAATATGTGATTGTAATCACCGATGTTCAAATTACTCTGACTATTTGGTTATAGCTCGTTCAAAGACAAATGAAATCATCTTACAGAATAGGTCAAACTTCAATTGTCACAGAAAAGCAAAATGGCAATTTTTTTGTTATTGAAGATTACGAAAAATTGATGTACACTACCGAACTCCCTTGGATTATGAATTTAAAATAGGATAGGTCACCTTTAGCCAAATGGAGAAATAATAGAGCATACAAAGAAGCTGAAATCATTACATATGTCAAAATGAAATTTTTATATGCAGAACAGTCCAAACATAATCAGATGAATTGTGCTCAGACTATTTACAAAAGGTGTCTATTAAAGGAGGAAAAGTTGAAAAATTGACTACCTACTCATCGCTCTATTTTCGCACAATTCTGTTTTTACATTACTATAACAGAAAATAGTGAAGTATTATATTTTATGGTATTCAGCCCAAAGGAACAATAAGGAGAATGAACATGATCATGCATGAGAGACAGAATGTAATTTTATTATTCAATACCAAGTTTTTTTGACAAAAAATGGGTAAGCATGGACCTAATACAAGTTATCACAAGGCTGTCCATTCTATTTAAAATAAAAAAAAATCTTATCAGAAAGTACTGAAAATGATATATTTTCAGGTAAATTTAGTTCGACCTTGATATCTTGTTTCGTTCAGAAGTCAAAAAAAGGGAGGACTATTTACGTCCCAGGTCCGAACGAAATCAACTTCACAGTTAAAACTTTCCAATCAGCAATAATTCTACTTTGATGTTCAATGAACTATGTTCGAAACACTTCTTTGCGATGACACATCCACCGCAGTGTAGGAACGGAATACTTTTGATTTCAACATGTAGGCTACGCAAATAAACCTTGCAAGTCGGCAGAAATTTTTGCAGGTCGGGTCTGCCAGTTATAGATCTCGACAAAATTATACATTTTCGACAGAAAAAATTTCCAACCCCTGCTCCTTAATTTCAAAATTCTCAAAAAAAATGAAAATACATTTTGCAGGTCGGCGTAAATTCTTGCAGGTCGGGTCTTCCAGACATGAATCACGACCACATTAATCATTTTTGACAGAAAAATTTTCGACAAACCGAAAATATAATTAGTGAAATGAATATAGTAATCGTGAATATAGTACCTAAATAAAAGCAAAACAATGTGGTTCAACTCAGGGAGCCGACAACGGAAATTAGCAAATATATATTAAAATAGGGAATGTAAATTTTTAATTGATGTATCAGAAATTAAATATTTGGGCGTGAACCTTACATCAAATTTATCATGGAACAAACACACCATTGGGATATTACTGAAATATTAAATACTTATAGTTTTCATCCAAAACTGAAATTCACTCTTGAAATGGAAGAAAAAAATTCGTTAGCATTTCTATATACTAAAATGATTACAAGATGTATACCGAATTTTAAATGTAGACTGGTATCATAAACCATTTTTTTATGAAGGATTTAAAATTATTTTTCGAAACATAAATTTCAGAGTAAAATCAACATTATAAGGAATTTAAAATCAAGAGTAATAGTCATTCCCAATTCTGAATTCCATAACAAAAATCTCCAATTAATTGAGAATTACGTAGTAAAAAATAATTTTCCTAGAGCTCCTATTAGAAAAATAATTGAAGAAAAAAGTTTCTGTTCCCAAAATACAAGGGTGAAACCCAAATATCACAAAGTTATCTACATTTGTAGAAAATTAATCTGATGAACTTAAGGCTTTTCTTCTCGAAACAAAAAACAACAACGCTACAAGAAATACAATCCAATATAGTGTACAAATTGAACTATGCTATGTATATGTATGTATATGCTATGTTGGTGAAACCGGGCGGTACCTATCTTAAAAGACAAGTCTCAAGATCGCATGAGAGACTCGAAGAAACTTAATATCACAGCCCTCCTTGAACATGAAAAAGAATATGGACACATTTTTATTTTGACCATCCAATAAAAATTCATTGTTATAGAGCTCTGAAGAAGTATTCAATTAAATTTGAAACGTCGGCAAGATAACAATTGTTTTTTAAAGAAAAAAATTGGTCTTGTGACCTTTCTTCATTAAATATACATAAGGAAATAAAGTTAAAGAAAATTCAGTAGAAAATAGATACAAAAACAAAAGGTATTATATATGACAAAATTCATACAGAATACCCTAGAAAAGCATGATATAATCAATTTTCCTATCAAAGCAGAAGGCATATTACCTTCCCAACAACAAAAAACAAAATTCATAGTGATTCCATATGAAACCAAATACACCAATGGGTTGGTCCGAACATTAAAAAAATTCAATATTAGAGTGGCTTTCAAAACTGCACGTACACTTCAACAAGTGTTGGGCAGTCCGAAAGACAAGACGTTGGAAAAGGGAAAGTTTAGAATTTAGGAAATAAACTGCGAGGATTGTGATAAGCAATATGTTGGTCAGGTGTTTTCTGGCATTTAATCGTATTCGAGTGTGTATTCGAAAACGATTCGTAATGACGTCATCATTAATAAGATTCGCCAGAATGGACTGATTCAATTTGTGTCAGATGTCAAATTCGATAATAAAAACAAACTTTTCAATTTTCTCTAACCTCAATTAGAATCAGATTTGTGTAAGTAATAATTTCGCAGCTTTATTTTGTAAATCCATACAACATATTTGATAAAACAATTCAGCACTTTATAAACTATAATGATCAAAATAAAGCAGAAACCGACAACTGACGTAACATAACGTCAAATTCCGTTTCAAAACCTACCTTACGCTAAGGCGTTTTCTGGCGCTCAAGTATTCAAAAAACGTATTCATCTCTGATTGAAATACATTCATTCTGGTATTGAAACGATGACGTCACATCAATTGTGATTTGAAACGTATTCATGTTGATTCAAAACACATCATGAATACGTTTCAAATCACAGTTGAATGTATGTATTTGAATCAGAGACGAAAACGTTTTGAATAAATGAGCGCCAGAAAACGCCTCGGGTTTCTGAATGCCTTCGAAAGCTTTGAAATCGAAAAGTGCGAAATGAGTTCTATGAATAGCGACAAAGGTCCTACTTCGAACAGTCCTTTGTTGGTCATACACGTAATAATTCTAAATAAAAAACCGATAAATATAAGAGATTATTATCACTAACATAGAGAAAATACATAGCAAATTATTAAAACAGGTAATTTAGCAGAGAATCAATAACAGGTAGTAGTTATATAATACTAACCGGTGTAGGTAGGTAATGCTAACAGATATTAGTTAGTCCACTTGGATATAAAAACATTAACTGGTTTTGGGAAAGTGTTCAGTCATTGTTTAACAAAAAAGCATTTATATCGAATTGAAATAAAAGACAGTCAATATCGTGAATGTGGGCAAGAGGAAACTTTGAAACATATTTTTTCGAATGTTCAATCAGAACTGTACCAAAAGTGGATATGTATTGAATGTTTATAGAAAATGGAGTGGTTCCCCCTTAACTTAACAATTCTAAGAAATAGAAATCCGAAAATATTTGAATTAATTAACAATTTCTTAGCATATAATAATATAGAACTTTAGTAAAAAACAAGATACAGAGAAGTGAGATGAAAAACAAATTGTATAAGTAATAAAATGTAAACATTCACAATGATTTAAAAAAACCTATTATATAGTAATCCCATCTTTAACATTTTCCATCCTGGGCTCACTTTATGAAGAGAAGATGGACGAATAGAGAAATCAAATCAACAAGAAAAAATGGAGTACAATATCACATTATACTATATAAACAAGACTCTTGTACTCCCCCCATAAAGTTTTTGTTATGGTTGGAACCAAAACTACTAGTGATGGGCATAATCGAATGATTCTGAGAATCGAATGATGAGTACTCGAATGATCCCAAAAATCGAAATATCATTCGAATGAAATCACTCGGATACTACGTCACTCGTCATTCATCGATTTAATTCGAGATCCGTCGATGCGAGCAATAAGCACGCAATCACTCGATGCTCATGAGGTCATGTGCCATGTGAAACGCCTACAATAATTGCGAAATTAGGAATGAAGTGGATTATTTTATGAGTTAGGATTGTTTGAATTTGTCGCACTAAGAATACAAACAGAGAACATTGAAATTGAAACAGTGGCAATAATTTTTCAGTTTGGAAGATTCGAAGCCGTTGTAACGAAATTTCTGTTATTACTCATAAATTCCATTATTTTTTCTACTCCTACTTATTGTGTAGTTGATACCTTTATTCCGTTATTATTACTGTTTTTATATTGAACAATGCGGCCTGGAGCTAGGAAATCTATTGTTTGGGAACATTTCGACAAAAAGGAAAATGGTCAAGTTCAGTGTCAAATTTGCAAGTTTTTTAGTACCTAACACTACCAATTTAAACCGACATATAATTGATTTTCACTTTTGTGAGGACTTTAATTTTTGGTTTATGTTTTCAATATATTTTAACAAGCCACCATTAATTTTCAATAAATGTTATCGTCAACAAATTTCTGAACATTCTCAGCCCAAACCTGTATTTCACCACATCCTACAAACAATTGTCGGTATATAGGCCGGCACTGCACTGGTGCGTAGCGGCGCAAGACTTTAATACTGCTTTCGACTATTTCACTCATTACTAATTTTATTCGATACATTCAACATTCGAATGATCTGAATCATTCGAATGATTCCATTTGATATCTCGAGATATCTCGAGTGATTGCAATAATCGAATGACCGATTATTTTTAATTCGAATGATCCCATCACTGACCAAAACTAAGAAGAAGAACCCAAATTAACCAATAACCTATTCTTGTAAGATACATCGTAAATCCGAAATATATCTTATTCCATATTAAAGGCCAAATAATTGTGATATAAATGAATATTTTTGGATTCCAGTTTAAAGTTTGATATAGATGATTGAGAGGAGACAAGGTTTAAGATTTTAGCAGTGAATTATTTATCAATACCGAAATGGATCCTTCAACTGAAATCAGGAAATTAGGACCCAAAGATGTTACTATGTTATCTTCGATTCTGGATCAGAATGACCAGTGGAGATGCTTGATGAGTATTATTCCAGAATTTCTTCAACGGAATGACTACAGATGTGATATTTCCGATAATAATCCTCCGAAATATGATTCTGAACATTTCAGGTAAGTAAATCAGAACTAATTATCAAAATAGGTTTTAAGTACATCTACATGAAAACTAGGGGTACTAGAAGTTGTTACCAATCGAGGTATATTGAACATAGCTAGGATTCTAGTTCTATGAGAAGGTACATTGAGTTTGATCAAGGCTAAGGGGAATTTATTTTTATGTTAATAATTTTACCCAATATGCGAGGTATTACGAGGCAGCCACAAGAATGTGTTGCAAATTCGAGGACAGCTACGATTTTATTTAATAATTAATAAAAATATACTGCAGAATGGTCTTTGAGAAAAAACATTAATTTAATGTTTTTGCCCCTCACAATCTATTTGGAATTTTTGATGGTCATTACCATACTAACATTTATCTAATGAAAAATAAATTCCTCCTTAAGAATTCAGCATTTCTCTATACTTTGAAGGATGTTCAATAATATTATGTTTTGAAATATTTTGCCGGGCAAAAAACAACCTGCACCCACCCTTATATTTATTCATTTAGAAAAAAATTCACCGACTCCATTATTATATTCGTGGACTGGGAATTTTTGGTATGATTACATAATCATTAGCAATGCCATACCCTTCTCGACACGCTTTTCACTAACCAAATTGGGGTCTTCAGGAGACGAAGAAAATAATTGTTATGTCAAGAAATTAGTTTTCTACCGTCGTGCGTCGAGAAGAATATTTCATATTTGATAATTTGGAAAAAAACTTGTTTTGGATTTATTTAAGCCTGAGGTTCCAGTTTTACCTCATAGTATGATGATGCTAACGTGGTTAGCGAAACATGCTTCGAGAGACAGTATTGTGTAGGAAAAGTGTTCTCAACAGAAAAAAGGAGTAACATTATCTAATAGAATTTAATGCTGAGACAATCCAGGTGATTGATAGATAGATACATTTATTTCAACAGAGTCTGAGAAATACGTCAAAAGGAAAATTGTACATATAAATCTAAAAATGAAACATTCAAATTGAATAGCTTCAAGTTTCAAACACGATTACAAACCTTTTAAAATGTGCGTCATATTGCCCATGATTACTGAAAGTAGAGATAAATATATAGCCAATTTTGAATAAAATTTGGTTCATAAATTTCCACGGGCCAGAAAATATTCATCAGTATTGAAGGGGCTCTAGATTACATAAGAATTTTCTTACAGATTTCAGAAATCTGTTAGCAACGACAATATCTTTTATGTTTTTCGGAAGATTATTATAAAATTTCATTCCAGCAAGACGCACGGAGTCAACAACAGAAGCCAACCGCACATTTGTGGTTCCAGTTAGAAGACCTAGAATTCCCAGGCTACATCTAACATGACCACGTAGGCAGCTATAGCTACCTGCGTGACATCCGGGACCAGGATATAAATACAGAGAAAGATTTTATCGAGTGTGTATGATACAAATAAAAAATGTAACAAATAGTGGACATAGTACTTCAAAAAGGGGGGAAAACCGCGGACATGTGTTTCTGGCTATTGGCCTCATCAGCGCGGTGCAGTCAAGTGTAAAGATGGGCAACACTTGTTTGCCGAAAGCAGGAAACAACATAGATGCACGGAGTCAACAACAGAAGCCAACCGCACATTTGTGTTTGTGGATGTCACGCAGGTAGCTATAGCTGCCTACGTGGTCATGTTAGATGTAGCCTGGGAATTCTAGGTATTCTAACTGGAACCACAAATGTGCGGTTGGCTTCTGTTGTTGACTCCGTGCGTATGTGTTGTTTCCTGCTTTCGGCAAACAAGTGTTGCCCATCTTTACACTTGGCTACACCGCGCTGATGAGGCCAATAACCAGAAACACGTGTTCGCGGTTTGTCCCCCTTTTTGGAGTGTTATGTCCACTATTTGTTACATTTTTTATTTATATATAGATATAGATTGCTGACACAGCAAGTAGTTTGTTGATCTTAAAGGCTCCTCTGCAGGAATCTCTTTTATTCATATTAAAGATTATTCTGATAATTTTTTTTTGACATAGGAAAACTCTTTTAAACTCGTGACATGAACCCCAGATGATTATCCCTTGTTTCATAGGGGAGTAAAAATTCGCATAATATACTGTAACTAGTGCTTCAAGATCAACATTTTTTTTGGAACTCTCATGGCGTATGTTACCGAGAATAGTTTATGGCAAAGGTCTATCTGACTTCTCCAGCTTAAAGTCTCATCAATGTATATGCCTAGAAACTTCACTGAAGTATTACAAATGATATTTTGATTGTGCATAATTATGTTTTGTGGTATTTCTATACTGTTATTGACTTTGAACATGATACAATTTGTTTTTCCATCGTTCAGAACTAACTTATTCCCTAAAAAATAATATTTGAATTGTTCTATTATTTTGCTACCCTTTTTTATAATATCAGATAAATTCGCACCTGTTAATAGAAGATTTGTATCATCAGCATAATTGATCATTTGAGCAGTGTTTATATCTGCTATAACCTTATTAATATCATTGATAAATATAATAAATAATATTGGACACCCATAGACACATCCAAAGCATCAGATCTGGCCGTTTTGCATTTTTGATTGAGTTCTACTATTTGTTTTCTGTTTTTCAAATATGAATTGAACCAGTCGTACGATTTTCCACAAATTCCATATTTATAGAGTTTCCATAAAAAAAATTCATGATCTATGCAATCAAAGGCTTTAGATTAATCCATGAAAACTCCACATCATAGATCTCCTCTTTCCATTGCTTCTAGGACTTCATTGCTGAGATACATCAAAGCAGTTTCAATTGACTTATTTTTAAGATAGCCATGATGGTTATTAAAAAACATTTTGAAGTTTGTAAAAAATTTTACTAAACGATTTACCATTGCTATTTCAAAAATTTTTGATATACATGTTAAAAGACTGATTGGCCTGAAGTTGGAAATGTCCAACTTATCCCCTTTTTTGTGAAGTGGTTTCACTATCGCTATCTTCAGTTCATCTGGAAAAACTCCTTCCTCAAAAGATTTATTGATCAGGAAGGTCAGAATACATACAATCTCATGAGCACAGCTTTTCAGTATTTGTATGGGTACTTCATCAATACCCGTGCCTCTCCTGAAGTTGAATCGCTTAAAACCTATATTTTTTGGCCAGAAACACCTATCATAAATTATAGGTTATTACGCTTTGTACTTAGTGTCTGTAGTTTTTTTACTGCGACTTCTTGGTTTTCTAGTGATTGTTCTGTTTGTGCTTCTATATGTTTTCTTATGTTTTCCTCCTTCATATTATCGGGTACTTTGGTTATGAATAACCATATCTTTTTGTATTGATCATCATGCCCATGAAAATTACTATCACCTTCACCACTGCCAATCTGTTTATTTTATTTTTATTTTTATGACTCCTATGTGTGACATTGAAATCCTTCATTGCTATTATAATCTTCATTTAAATGAACAATATCTGTCATAAACTTTCTTTGTTCATTTTCTAGAGCATTTATTTGATTTTCAGTTTGTGACTTATTTTCCATTTTAGATTCGTTAATTGTGACACCCTGTATTTATGGTTTCTCACAATGTCTAATACATCCACATGGTGGATGTATCCTGGTTATTTATTTTGGTTTTTTAGGGATTTGTGTTTCTTCATTGAATTCTTCATTTTCTGTTGGAATTGTCATACTGTTTTTTATGGTTTGGGTTGGTCTGTCTTTAATGAATTTGTCTTCCAAAAATGCAATTTTCTCTTCCAGTAATATAATGACTCGTTCTTTGTCTGCAATAATGTATTCCTTATCACCAGAAATTTGCCTAAGTAATTCATTTTCCTCTCTCGGGAAGTCTTCTTCAGATAACTAAAGTAGGTCATTGACTTGTTTATCTGATTCATGCTTGCATTACTCTTTTTTTTGGTCACTAAATTGCTTGAGACACTTTGGATGGAAGTAATCATTACATTCATTACACTTTACTTTGTTTACTACTTTTTTCGAGCAATGTTTACAAGTAAAATTCTCGTTTTCTGTGGGAGCTGGCGACGAACAAGCTGCTCGGCCCGCCATATTGTAATGTTATAGAATGGAAAAAAATGTTGTGAAGGATCATGGCTCCATGCATTACTTTGTTAGGTAGCATATTGATTCCGTCATATTATTTTAATAGAAAAACATCTCGGCAACTGCAGCTACTCATCACATGCTTTTTGGGCATTTGTGGCAACCTATAGCATTCCTCTCAGAGCACTTCGAGAATTTTCCTGAGAATTTTCATCAAATAAAATCTCATCAGCAGATTCTTAATGAATCATTGGAGAATAAGAGACCTGAAAATAAGCCGAGGTTCACCCAAAATATGATGTTCTATGAATGATAATTTTTTATGTGATGCAAACCTCACTACATATTGATGAATATATGTATTACTTTTATCTATTTATGATGATAAAGACGTTGTGACAATCGATTTTTAAGTATGTGCTGTTGAATATATACTGTGTAGCACTGAAAACGAAACGGATCGAATATCTTCAAGACACATGTGTTGAGAAAAATGCAGAAAAGGTCGATTTTGAATTTGAAGGGAACATATTTCTATCACAACTTCAACTGTCGTATCTCCTTTCCCGCCACTTGCTGACCACCACCCTTAGAATTTGAATAGGGATAGTACTAAGTGTGACACATCATTCAAAAATATAATTTTATTCGGAATTCACTCATGTGACTTGTTCGCCATCTAATTTGATTTTACTTGTTCAAATTATCTTTCGCATTCATTCATTTGAAATACAGAATAGTTGTTTTAACTGTAAGACTGCACCAAAATGAAAAATTATATAGTGAACAGTCACATGGATGAATTGCTTAGGAAATTAGGTTTTTAATGATTTGTCACACTTAGCACTTTCCTTAATCAAATTATTTGGGCGATGGTCACAAGGGGAAGGAGGCGACTCTAAAGATGTCCCCTTTGAATTGAAGTAGACAAGTTTTTGCATTATTTTCTTAAAGATTGTGTCTTGAAGATGTTCGATCTGTTTCGTTTTAGGTGAATCATACTGTATTTTTTATATTTGTATTAGTGTAGGTACAGACCAACCAACAAAATGTTGACAATTTGTTTGAAGGTGATTGACAATGTTTCATGATGAATGTCATTAGTTCGGACTTCTATTGTCTGATATTACATAAAATGATTTGAAATCTCTGAAAGAACTAATAAAGAGAAGAATTAAAAATGAATAGCTGAAAATAACAATTATATTAAGAAGAAAACCGGAATGAAATAATAATGAAATAAAATACAAGTAAAAATAGAACAATGAACAAAAAATTAAAATAAAATAAAAAGTTACGAGATTCCAAGCCAAGTTACTTCACGACGTTTCGATTGTTAGTATCCACATGCCTCTTCGGGTGATGACTGAGTCATCACCCGATGACAACTTGTTGATGTATTCTAGCAATACATTTATTGCATACAGCTTTTTGATAAATGTTTTCAACAATGTTATGTGTCTAAACAACGAAACACTGCCTGTCTAAACCAAATTCAGTTTTCAATTAAATTTGAAAGAGATTATTACTAGTGCTGCTTTTATAAAAAAAGATGGGTGCAGAGAGATATTTAAAAAATTATGAAGATAACTTCATTTCTGAAATAATTTCGAATGATGGTAGTTTGTTCGTAACTTTATCAGATAATGAATGCACAATTAATAAGCTTGGCAGTTAGTCTAGGATATTTACCTACAGGTGATTCGGTTACTAGTCTGATGTATTTGTTTAAAAGTTTTGAAGCAATCAATATCCTTGATTGTACCCGAATTGTGTGAAATTTCGAAACCTGCAGTGTTGTTGAATACAATTTTTTACCATAAACACTGTGCAATGTTTTTCATTTCAAATTGAGAACATGATACAACAAACTTCTATGATGTCGTGCCACTTGATGTTGCCATGTGTCTCTTCAACATCTAGCTGATTGATAAGATACATGTTGGCAACACTAATATAAACAAGTTGCCAACATTTTGTTGATCGGTCTCTACTCACCTTCATACCTTATGTGTTTGTTTTCTTTTCACCGGACGATATAAAAGTTTTTCATATCATTAAATATTCTGAATTTTTATACTAACAAATACTGGAAATTTATTTTTAGATTGATTGTGAGGTCTATTAGTTTCTGCATTTGTATACATTTATAATTTTGATATAATCTGAAATATCAACTCATCGTTATTACATAAGTCGAATTTAATACTAGAATCTGTGCAAGAACTTCTATTTACTCTTTCAGATTTACATTTCATAGCTTAATAATTTCAGAATCCTCGATGAATTGAAAAAGTCGGGCAGAAAGTGTACTGAAGTGCTACTATCTGAGTGGGGTTGCTCAGGTAGAATTCGGCCAACAATTGGCCATCTGTTATACCTTTTGGTTAAGGCAAACCTTTTTAGAGCAGCAGATTACGTTGCAATGGATTTACTGCATCAAGAAAAACCAAAAAGACCCTGCAATGGCCCAGAAGCTCAAATTTCTCCAAATTTGTTGCGGAAAGAGACTAGTCATGACCAGAAATTTTCGACAGACAATCATACTGCCCGAAACATACACCAACGAATTCCGGAGATTATAATCACTGATGCTAACCAAGAAGGTATGTCATGTTTCAATATAACTATTAAATTCATCCCTTACGAAATTGTTGGAATTAGTGTCATGAAAAAGATGGGAGAAAATGCGATAAGCCCATGAGGCTGCATTGTTTTCCGGAGAAATGGACAAGTCAGTCGGCTCAAAAGTAGTAGAAAAAATGGTTCATTCCTGAAAAATTATATTTATTCTCTGAAAACACCTGTAGCATTCTGACTTTTCAGGTCAGTATGCATCCTGGAAAGGTAAATCAATATTCAATGAATCTTGAAATCTCGATAGTACAAATCTGGTTGACAGTTTCTTAACATTTTGCAGACAAGAGTACAAATCTTGAGGAGTAAAAAGATTCATATAATGAAACATGAGATCGTCTCTCAATTTAGTAATAGAAAAAGTCATAACTGAAGCACCGATTTAAATTCACAAGAATTAATAGAATTCCTTTTATAGTACATTAATTAGTTTTGGAATAGTTTACAGTATTACTCTTAATACAGTACAATTTTGAACTCCCGAAAATTCCACACACTTTAGTTAAAACTTTGAGAAACTCAGAGAAAATAAACAAAGGGCAATAATCTTGAAAAGCCGTGAATATAATTCCTATCATAATTTAGATTAATTATATGTTTTTTCTCCTGAATGTTATGTTGTGATACAATAATTCATATACATGAATTTCCTTTAAATATTGTTAATTACAACAGGCGCTATTATCAGCTTACTACACTTTTTTACATTCACATATCTCATACGAGAAGATTCTCTTGAAGAATAGTATTACCACAAAGAGGATATTTATCAGGGGCTGGTTTGTTAGACTGTAAACCTTATTAGCGTTGAGAATAATGATGGTTCCTTCTACATATCGGTATCAACTTTTGATAGATATTCATAAAAATAAATCAACACAAAACAGAAATTGTGATTTTTATGATCATAATACAAGAGGAAAACAATTATTAAGGGCAAATAGATTCAGCCTAAAAAGGTCAAGCAGAAATTCTATCGACAATATCCTCTACAATATTCTACCTCCCTTTATCAAGGAGCTAAATAAATATTTGTTTAAACAAGTGTCTGAAAGATCTACTGATAACAAATTGTGATTATTCATACTGAAGAGTATGTAGCTGTTTCATCCAATGCTTTGATAATTATGTATATAGATTAATTGAAGCTTTCAATTTAAACAATTGATAAAACTCAAGCCAGAAAAATGATTATATCGACAACACAAATGTCTCTTAATATTAATATAAATAAAATCACATGGTGTAGGTAAATACAATGAGTATATAAAAATGAGAGGGGAAAAATAAGTATATATCATAGGTATAGATTAATGAGTATAATCTAATATTGAAGTTACTAGTAAGCTTATATTTAATACAAACTGAAAAAGGTTATTTGTCCATGAATTCTATTAATGATTATGGCTCAGTGTCACACAACACATTGAAAACACGTTTTTTAAACGTTTGTCTTATTCAATCTTCGTTGATAGTCAAGGGTAAACGGTTGTAAAAATGAATTAATGCATAATGCGTCCCATGCTCTGTATTTTTCAATCTGTGTTTAGGGACAATATAATTGGATTTCGGTCTGGTGGAATACTCATGTCTATATTTGTCATCTTCAAAATTCGATTTGTTCTCATGTACAAAAAGTACACAAACATAATAAATATATATAACATATACAGTAAGCATTTTGTTACCCTTGAAGGTACCACGACAAGAGTCTGTGTAATTCATATTGAACATTGTTTCCAAGATACATTTTTGCATTATGAAAATACATTCCAGTTGTGTACTCTCTCCCCATACTAATATTAATATTCCATATTTCAGCAGAGGATAATCAGTCCCATAATATGCCGTTTTCAGTGCATCAATTTTCAAGTGACTTCTCAACACTCTAATTGCATAACACTCATTTGCTAGTTTTTTTGCGAGATAGTCAATATGTACCTCATAATTAAGTTTATCTATATAAATTCCCAACAGTTGTTGAAATATCTAGTCTTTCACTACTGATAGATACCAATTTTGGTTTTTGGGCTTGCTGGCCTCCCTTCCAGTGGACTGTATACTATTAAATAATGCGAAGTAGGTAATTAACACACTTAATTCAGTCACACCTTGTTTACAGAATGTCGAATACAACAATTGTTTTGATCAGTTTAATTTGATGTGAAAAACACTATCACTAAGCTTATACAAATGAGAACCTTTGATATTCTACACAATAAACTAACACTTCTTACTCAACTGCAAATACACCTAATAGAGCTTTCTTACGTTATGCTAAAACCATACTGCTTGAAGGAGGGTCATCTTCAGCGATAAATAAGAAAACAGGAACCACACTATTGGTTCCCGAGGGTAGGTACGTATCTATCCCTTGACAACCAGACGCAGACAATTACACAGGGCGTAACAGTGTTTAGGAAACTCAATTTAAATTTTTATTTATATTCCCAACAACCTCCCCGCCGGCTGAAATATCGCTTTTAGCATAAATGAATGGCAGTGGCCACAGCTATGTGATTGACCGTGTATATATTCCGTTTACAGTGCGTATTTTTACTACACGGACCTTATTGTCTAAACCTGACATTACTTCCAGTATCCGAGCTGACCGCCATTCCAAGGGTAGGATAAGAACGTTATCCTCTTTTAGTAATACCAAATCATTTGTCTTTAAAATTTTTCATTCCTGAGTCCATTTTGGCCTTTGTTGTAACCTGTTCAGATATTCAACAGACCAACGTTTCCAACATAGCTGTCTCATTTGTTGACAATGATCGAATATTTTCAATCTGTTCTCATGAATATGCATTTTATTCAATTCTGGAAAAGATGTTATATTTTCACCTATCAAAAAATGACTAGGTGTAAGACATGAGTAGTCATTGAGATCAGTAGAGAGAGGGGGAGCGGCTTGGAATTCAAGATTGCTTCAATCGGACACAAAAAAATGGTCAAATATTCAAAACTTAAGATCGTGTTTCTCAAGATCCGTTTCAAATGAAACTTCGTAGATTTAATACCAGCTTCCTATAAGCCACCCCAATGTGGACTATTGGGGGGAATGAATTTCCATTTGACTTCATTTGTAGATAAAAACTTCTGAGAATTTTCATTTTGCCTGAGGAAAATGCGTACTTGTTTAAGTGCATTGTTGGCGCCTTTAAAATTAGTGCCGTTATCACTAAAAATAACCTCAGGACAACCTTTAAGCGCAGTGAACCTCTTGAGTGTTAACAGAAAACCTTCTTCTGTACTAAGACTTGATATAAGTTCTATGTGAATAGCTTTCGTAACCATGCTCACAAACACTGCAATACATGCTTTAGAAATAATTGCTTTTTTAGACGAGCTTCTTTCACTGAGATTGGATTACCAATCCGTAACAAAACACGCAATTTTTGGCTTTTCTTTTGATCTGTCTCAACGCATTGATTGGCCAAAACCGTTGGCGAAGATTAAAAAGGGTGGTTTGCGGACCTGCATGATGTAAATCAAAATGTTCCTTTTTAAAAACTGATGTAACAACATGACGACATGATCTCTACAGGAAAGAATCATTGGATTTTTCTGAGCAAAGGATAACTCCGACTGAGTTAACCTTCCTCCAACTCAAAGTATACCTTCTTTGTATAGAAAAGGAGTTAATGAGCCATCGCACCTGATCTGATGGGAATTTTCGTCTTGATATCTTCTTCTTAGAGAAATGGTGGCCTTGAATGCAGCTAGTGATGAACTTCAGAGATTTTTAAGTTCTTCAACAGAAAGTGAACCGGTCAATTTGTTTTTTGGCTTCAAACAATATGTGCAAGCAATAGGCGATAACCCGTTGCAAGTGACTAAATTTAGAAAATCTTTCTTCTGAAAAATTGTTTAACGAAACGAGAGTCACTGGGGATCTCTGTTCTGGAAGAGATTCTGTAAATTGTATTTGAGAGTAACCTGAGTATAAGCCGATGTTATAGAGAATGTCTGGACCATTTCACCATTGTTTATAAGAAATCAATGAAATTGGGTCAAAACCCCGAGAAATGTGATCTGCTGGATTTTGACTTGAAGAGATATGTTGCCATTTTGCATTTGATGTTAATTCTTGTATTTCAGAAACTCGATTTCATACAAATGTAGTCCACCTAGTAGGTGTATCCTTCAGCCAACATAAAACTATTTGCGAACCACACCATAGCACGATTTTTGAGAATTTAATGTGAAAAACTGAGCATAATTTATGACATAATCGAGCCATCAGTAGAGCACCGCATAACTCCAATTTCGGTAGAGTGATTACCTTTTGCGGAGCTACCCTTGATTTGGAACAAATAAAGCTACAAATTTTATCTCCGTTAGAGTGAATGGTTTTCAAATACAATCAAGTAACATTAGCCTTGAGAAATGAATCTGAAAACCCTGTAATTCAAATGTTTCAACTTCTTGTGGAAGATGAAACAAACGCGGAATTTCTAATTTGTCAAGAAGCGGGATATCCTTGAAAAATGTCTCACATTCTTCATGTAGATCCTGAGGAGGTACATCATCCCAATCTAATTTACGATACCAAATTTTCTTCATGACCTGTGAAATCTAGTGGATCGAAAAACCTGGCGATATAAAAGATTCACGTTAAGAAGAGAATGACAAGTTAGGGCGTTGCCAACATGTGCACTATTTTGAACTTTCAAATTTTTTTGTACTGTTGATTTGTTTTATTGATATTAACCTCACTTACTATTAACTTACTTAGTTGAAATACAAATTTGTTGAGACTGTTTCGACAATGCTTTAGGCATATTGAATATACGCAGGACTTATCAAAATAAACGATTAGTTCTGAAGAGAAATGAAAGACTGACTGTTTTCGAGTTTTTTTCAAATCAACAACGTCTGAAATTTTACTATCAGTTGAGCAACTTACAGAATGAAATTTTACTAGTTTCATTGCTATTGAACGCATTTCATTGGGAATTTTTATGTTGTTATGTTGGATATACAAAATTACCAAAAATGACGTGATACTCTTAACGTGAACATCCTATATGAGAGAACATTTCTTTTCATAGGAGTGACATTTTTATTGAAAGGAAAACCATACATTTTAAAGTTGTCTAAAGAGGGTTTTCATGATATTCCTGAATTTTTGGACCTTTCACAATATGAAAAATAAAGAAATTCAGATCAACCGGGAGTCTGCTCAGGTGTAATAAAGTACATACTGAAAAGTTTACTTTATTGGTAGAATTGGAACCTCTGGCATAAAATGAATCTCATCAATACATTTTATTGTATGATTTTTCACTATTCAATCATAAAATGAAAATATGATGATGCTAACTTGGTTAGCGAGAAGCACTTCGAGAGACAGTTTTTTTGTTCTGATTCAATAGATTGAAAAGTTGATCCCGAAAAATTTCTGCATGATATAGACCTTTGCAGAGTTTTGTAGAAGGATATAAAAATTTTCTCCTTGATTGGAAATACGTAATATCAAGACATTTTATACCAATAATTACTTTCCGTAACATAAGTCATTTTGAGAAAGCTAAGTGAAAAAAATATTTTCAAACAGTTTATTTTATTTGTAGACAAAATTTATAAACGAGACAAGTTACCGACTAATTAGACTCTTCAAAGGTTTATATTGAGCAGTAACTTTTCGAAATGAAATTTTCAATTTGTCCTTCATTACACTTGAGCAGATTTTCTATTGATCTAGATTTATTCATTTTTTAGATTGAGGAAGGTTGAAAACTTCAATAAACATAATTGTTTAATACTTTTTATCTTTTTGTATCCACCTCCTTTTCCATCTCCACTAAAATGGTTTTTCTTACCACTGCTTAAGAGTAAGCAAAATTGGTTATTTAGTTTGCATGATGCATGATTTTGAAAGGTTTGAACTATATTAGAATTCCATATTTTATTTATATTAAAGGTCCATATTTTGACTTTTATTTTAACAAGGGTATTTTCTTGCAACTTTTCAATTTTTATTTCTTACTGTCGTGTTCTCAGTTATAATGCATTATGGTGATGTATACTAAGCTCATTTTGATTTTTTTGTTGTACAGATAAATATATTTATCCACGTCAGAAATATACCTCTGCCTTTACAAAAAGACTTATTATCACCCAATCATAGCATTATAGGGACAGATGGAAAACCATATAGAGGAAAAATTTAATCTAACAACTGGATCGTGATGATAACAACTTGATGCTGCGGATGGAGTATCTTTGGTCAAGAGAACTACTTGTACGTCAGATCGATACACATCCAAAAACAATAGTTGTCAAAATACCTATGTAATTATTTTTTGAAAGTAAATTTTGTGGAGGTGTCAATATTTTTTGCTGCTTATCTGAGTTTTTAACCTTCCACAGTCTGAAAGTGAATGTGTACTATAAACCACTGAAAAGTCCAATTAATCAATAAGTTGTATTAATAAATTTTACCTACAAATTGAAAAATACATGAAAATAAAATAAAATTCATACAGGGTGTAACTGAATGAGTGTAAAACATTCAAGGAGATGATTCTTCATCGAAAAAAAGATATAAAGAAACTTCATTGAAGCGTCCCTTGTTAAGATACATCCCCTTAAAGGGGGTACATAAAATTTGTATAGCAATTTTTTTCACAAGCACTGAAAAAGTTACAATATTGAAATTACCCTGACGTTTTGTACTACCAAAAAGACACTTAGCTAGTAATTTATTTGGTTTACCCCATGGTTGTAAGGGGTGGAAAACGCAACCCCTAAAATGTATTTCCAATGTAACTTTTTGTCTTATTATTTGTTTACCATTCATTACTGATAGCCTATTTCATTCTAAACAAAAAATGTCTCTTGGGTTTTTTGCCCAAAATAAACCAGTTTGCAGCAAAAAATTATTTTACGAACAACTACAGAGATACATCGTCATAAATGCGAACTGGATTTATTGTTATTTTGTAGTTAGTACCTGCATTAATCGATTAAAGGGTAATAAACAAAACTAATTCATTAATAACAAAACACACAACATGTAGAAATCATAGTAAATGTTCAATATATCTACCTTCAGATATTACGCATGCGTCTAGACGTCGGCGCATTGAGCCACGTATTCGCTCAAATATTCCTCGAGTCTCAGGATTACCCTGCACGCATCAATGATACTGTTTCTTGAGTCCTCTACATCGCGAACAGGAGTACGATAAACCAAATGCTATAAATGGCCCCAAATAGAGACATCGAGAGGATTGAGATACGGGGATCGAGCGGGCCAGTTCTGTGGTCCTCTGTGATCCACTGATTTGCATATGTTTCAGTTAAATGCTGACGTGCTACTTGACTTGAAAAATGAGGCCCAATTAAATCATCCCCAATAACTCCGAGCCACACGTTAAGAGAAAACTGTTCTTGATGGTTAGTTTCGACATTAGCGTGAGGGTTTTCATCAGTCCTTATGTGGTAATTATGAAAATTAATAATCTTGTCCCGAGTAAAACTACAATCGTCTGTGAATTCTATCGTCTTCAGAAAGTCACAATTTCTTCTAATCATTTCCAGCATCCAATTGTAAAATTCAAGACGGTTCGGAAAGTCGCGGTAACAGTGCCTGTACTCGTTGCAGATGGTAAGGGTATAATAGTTGTTCCTTTAAAATTCGAAATACCGCCATATGATCAACATTTAGCTGGAAAGCAATCTTTCTATACTGCTTCCTCAAGCTGTGATGTTCGTACTTCTCGATGGCGACCACAATCCTGCGTTCTTTTGTCGAATGAACTATATTCTCGTAATCGTTGATGGAGTCGAGCAAAATTCTATGTGAAGGATGCTGCCGTTGAGGATACATTTCAGCATATCTCCTAGAAGCTTCTAACCCATTCCCCTGCGACAGCCATTTCCTCATTTGTGTATGCCATTTTAATAACAAGTGAATTATTAAAGTAGCAAATTAATTCGATTTCAAAAATTCACAAACTGACACCGTCATACCAGTTTCATTGTCACTATCGCTAATAGCGAACTACTAGATAGATTAGATTCGTATTTTCGCATTTATGACGATGTATCATTGTAGTGGTTCCTGAAATAATTTTTTGTTGCGAACTCAGTTTTTGGGCAAAAAACTCAAGACATTTTTTGTTTAGAACAAAACAGGCTATCGGAAATAAATGTTTAAATGGTAAACAAATAATAAAACAAAAAGTTACATTGGAAATAAATTTTGAGGTGTTGCGTTTTCCACCCCTTACAACCATGGGGTAAACCAAATAAATTTATGGCTAAGTGTCTTTTTGGTAGTGCAAAACGTCAGGTTAATTTCAATATTGTAACTTTTTTGGTGCTTGTGAAAAAAATTGTTATCCAAATTTTATGTATCCCCTTTAAGGGGCTGTATCTTAACAAGGGATGCTCCAATGAAATTTCTTTATATGAAAGATCCTATCTTTTTTTCGATAAGGAGTCACCTCCTTAAATGTTTTACACTTATTTAGTTACACCCTGTATACCTAGCTTGTTCTAGATTCTAGATGGTTAAAGTTTTGGAAAGTGATCTCTTTCTGTTTTTAAAATCTAGTAGTCTACATGAATACACACATATAGGATGTTTTCAGAGAATTCAGTTTAGGAGCATATTTCCGTTTTCAACCTCTCCTTAGCAATGGTAATCAGGTACCATTCATTTCTACAGAATTGGTTGAAATATACATGTTACTTGCTAAAAGACTGTATGTGGATTCTTTCAGTATACTCATTTTTTAGTAAGTTGCATAGTCACCAATTGATTTCAGAATAAAATTGAGTGGAACACAAATTGTCATCGAGGAAGCTCACAAAAGAAATGAGAAAACTTGAAGAATCCATATATATTCTTTTAGCAGGTAATAGGTGTATTTTAACCAACTCTATAGAAATGTATCATAATAGGATACCATTGTGAGGCAAGAGGTTTAAAACAGGAAAAGAACCTAAATTAATTTCTCATAATACATTCAGTATGTATTTATGTAGACTATCGAATATGATATCTGGACGGATATCATACGGATATCATACGGATATATACGTATTTTCAATAAATTGATGGATGTAGCGTTACTACATGGTAGGTAATCGTAATGAAGAAAGTTTCATTTCTCTTTTCTTCAATACTTATTTTCGTTTGATTTGGTTTCTGAGGTGAACTTTTTGGGTTTTGAGAATGGAAAGGGATTACTTTCCGAAACGTTAACCATCTAAAGAAAAGTAAGTATATAAATTAAATTTTTCAGGGATTATTCAATTTGTAGGCAAAATGTATGTATATTACAAGTTACTAACCAATTGGCCTCTTCAGTGGTATGTATTATGCAGTTATCACATTGTGAAAGATTATAAATTCAGATAAGTAGCAAGAAACACATGTAATTGATGAGTACGCACCTTGAAAAATTTCTCGATACAATATTAAAAAGAGCAGAAATGTGGTGAACCAAAAAACGTGTTTATTCTATCGAAGCAAACACTGTAATGCCTTTTTAATAAACTTTCGTAGGTATTTTTTGGATTTGTACAAAGGACCATTTGAGTTGTATGTGATATGAAGATCACCTCATAATATTGTTAATCATATTGGTCTAGAATGAACCCTGAGATATATGATAACAGATCTTGGGCCTGATACAATTATTATTAATATTAATTTTTGATATCTGTATTATTTTTTCCAGGAGTGACTAAGGCTGTTAAAGCTTTTCCTGCTGATATGATTGAGTTCTCTAGTAGTTCTATTCATGATAATATTGAAGCGACTCTTAGTGATTTTCCAGTCATGGTTAACCATTCAAATTCAAGTTTTGAATCGAATACAGGTGTTGACAAGGAAGTTATATCATATTTCAGTGCACCAGCTGTTCCTGAAACAACGGAAGCAGTGGAAACATCTGTTTCTGATATGATTGAATTCTCCAATATGATTCCAGTAGGTGTTGAAGAAATAAATTTTGCTCCTCCGGCTAGGATTACTGTCTCAAGTGCTCCTGCAACAAACGAGAGGTCAAAAACTCAAAATTTCAGTGATGTGAATGAATTAGAAAGCAAAGAAAACAACTCTCATATGTATAATATTCCTGACTTGACGGGGCTGAATTTCAATTCCGGAACTAGTAAGTGAATATTTCTTCTTTGTAATTTGCCATGCATGCTTTTGTGACAAGTTAATTTTAATATACCTCTCATACTAATACTAATTATTTTGGGCGAATTTATCAATTGATTTATTTAGAGTTGAATGAACCAAATTGAACTAAAAGCACACAAAACTGTTTGACATGCGTTTCACCAACCAACATGACGACATCAGGAAATTGTCTGTACTGTTATATAGTAGGTTATAGACAAGATATACATAGTTTGTGGTGTAAGTGTTTGTGTTGGAATTCCAGTTTCATTTTACATCAATCTTTATGGTAATATTGAAATATTTTTGAATATTGAATTGAAGCATTTTTTTAAATACACTTTTTTGGATATTTTCAACCACCGCACATGATCAGAAAAAAAATTATAATGGGAAACTTTCAGCCGTTGTGGGACAGAGATGAAAAAATCGATTGCTATCAACAAACTAGACCAGGGGTAGGTATTTGATTGTTTGAGAATGAGTGCGGCTATTAGAAAATCAGAACCAAAGGAGACATTCGTGCATCCTACCCATTTTATACCTTGTATTTATGACAACATGCTTAGCAGAAACAACTGGTATACAGATGGCTGGATGGTAGTCAGAATATACAATGTAAAATTGTAAAATTGTTATCGTTCTGTCACTCTTCAGATCTTTTTTTAAAACAGGTGTTTGTTATATATTTTCTTGCATTTATTATAAATCATCTAGATATGCATTCTCTTTCAACTCTTTTTTTAAATAACACCCTACTAGGAATCAGCTATTATATAATGTACATCAATTTATAGTGAAATATACCTATAATAAGGTGGGCAAGTGAGTGGTATGGTGTGAAAAGTTCAACTTCTACAATACCTCGAGAATCAACTGTTACTGGCTACCTTGTTTTTAATTGTAAAGTTGTTTTCTCCTCAACCTTGATAATCATTAGCAGTATTATTAGAAAGGCTTTACATATGTGATGCAATCGGCCGATACTTGATGAAAATCCGTAACATATTCAAAACACTTTTTGTGAGATTTTCACTAAACAGTTTTACGAATACACAACTCGTGTTTCGCTATACAATAGCTTTTACGTATAGACACAATGGCTTGAAGCCATTGTATAGGGAAACACGTGTTGCGTTTTTGTAAAACTGTGAAAATTTCACGTCTTCTAGTTTCACCGGGAAATGGCAGAAAAAACAACTTCCAACGATGATTTTCCATTTGGAAATTTCAAAGAGTTCATCAACTTTTACAGCCTTTACCCATACAGCTAGTTGATAAGGCACCATATGACTTTGCAACCTTCCGTAGAGGTTACTGGTGGTGTTGGCGGATGAGAGTAGGTTGGCATGTAGTTCTGAACTCAACGACGAGATTGCATCCATTTTTTTTTTAATTAAAATTTATGACTACCTATGAACACTTATTTCTGCACTTGCCCTGCTTTACTGTACAACAAATACCACTACATTACATCAATACAAAATTACATATCAAATGTAGTGCTTGTTTTTTACATTTATCGAATATAGACTTTTGAATACTTTTAAAAAGAAACACTTCTGTGTGATTAGTGAACTATTAAATGATATTAGACCTTGATGAAATAGTGGCACAAGTTATATTTGAACTGGTTTATGTAGCATATTATATTTCATTTGAAAATTAAACTCAATATGTTGTTTGCTATTCTCTGTGTTATGCTCATGAGAAATTATGTTTCCAACATATATTTGATCGAATTACTCTCCTTTTCACCTCATCTTGATGCTGCAAGTTTGGTTCTTCATTTGTCAAAAAATTGAATGATACTCCACAATAATCGATGTAGGGAACTTCATTCTAGGTAAAGGTAAATAATACTGTTAATTGATAAAAATGGTATATTTTTCTTTCGAAATTTATATTCATGTAATTTTCATAAGACTATGAATTTGCACTTTCCTTATCGAAATAAAAGTTTTCCATTACAATTTTTGTTTTTTTTTCAGATTTTTGAGGTTGAAAATACCCAAAACATTTTTGAAACTTGAAAATTGATGAATTTTCTCAAAAAATGGAATATAATAAATCATTTTTGGCCCTAATAAAAGTAAACCACTAAATCTTGACAGTTCCAAAAAGTATTTTACAAAACATCAAGTTTAAAAGACACAGGAACCTGAAAGTGAAGAGGTTTTTGTAAAAGCAGTCGTAGAACATAGTAGAATATTTGTGTTGTGAATATTTTTTATGATAGAAAGCCTAAATGCAAACTCAGAATTTACTTTTGTTTAAAGGTGATTGACAATGTCTCATGATGAATTTCATTAGTTCGGACTTCTATTGTCAGAATTTACTATTAGCGCAGGCGCTGGAAGTATTTGAGTATGGAAAATGTGAGGACCGGCAACTATGTTTATACTCCTATAAGTGAGACCCTAAACAATGAAAAACTGAATCTTGTTGGCAGTAGCGGTGGTCCCTTATCCATTCTCTACACCTCATGGAAAATAGCTGCTGGAGCCTAAACACAAAATTCAGTCTGCCAAAGTTTAACCGACTGACCTGGCAGCTCCCAGCCCAAAGCTAAAATTACAAATTAACTCTTCTTGTTTCATAAAATTCATTCTATTGATAATAAAAAATTATAGAATAGAAATATCAATAAATAATTACAACTGTATTTTCGTGTATAATTTCAAAATATAACAAAAAATGGAATTGGTTAGTAAGAGTTTTGATCTGTGTCAATTTTTTTTGGCACTTCATATATTTAAACATTGACGTCTATTTCAAAAATTTCGGTTCGCAGGAGTTGCATCATCTTAGCACATTTCCCGAATTAAAACCTAAAATACAATTTTCTCCAGAAAAATTTTAAAATTTAATTTTGTAAAAACTTCCAATGTTAACGAACAGTTTCTTGAAAATTTTTAAGTTATATAAGTTATAAAAACAAACTGTTTACATCTGTTTAAAATCTGTTTTTCCGTTAACCAGATGTCGCACCCCTACGAACGACAACCCTCAGAAGTCAAAATTTGTGCGAGCTAAGGACTAAGGAGGTCTTACCTTTTAACATGTTCCTAACACTATTCAAATAATTACTGTGAAATGCTAAAAATTCTTTTGAATTCAATTATGGCGGACAGAAGCAATAATTTTGAATTGGAGTGACACTTTATTTACAGGACATGTTTAAATTACCTCCAGAAGTCATGTACAATATGAAAAAAGGGATGCATTCCGTCAAGCGTAAAAAAAATGAGTAAAATAAAAAATATGTGCTAGTAATTAATGTTTCATTATCCTCAGAAAGAAGAAAAATATTTACAAATTGAAATTAGATTAAACTATAAGTTATGAGTTAATGGCCATCAAAATATCTTTATTGTATGTACTCCATCGATTTTGTTAACAGACATGAGAGGAGGGAATAAAAAATGGAACATAAAATTAGTTGCCAAGATTTGGATTATTCATGGATCACTCTAATCACATTAGTGGAATGACACTTTATTTACAGGACATGTTAAAATTACCTCCAGAGGCCATGTACGATATGAAAAGAGAAATGCATTCCGTCAAGCATTAAAAACTGAATTTAAAAAAATAAAAACCTGTGTTAGTAATGCTTCGTTATCCTCAGAATGAAGAAAACTGTTTACGAATTAAAATTACAATAAACTATAAATTATGACTTGATCGCCATTGAAATAATTTTGTTGTATGTAGTCTATTGATTTTGTTAACAAATATGAGAGGAGGGGATAAAAAAATGGACTAAAAAATTAGCAAGATTCGAATTATTCCAAATAAAAATTTATTGATGAAATTGGGTCCTCACATTTTGCATACTCACTTCTTTCCAGAGTCCAGTCTATATTTAAATTTACTTTTCTCTCATCTACCTTGAGCTTAACATGTAGGGATTATAATGTGTATTGAATCCATTGTGCATGGTTTGTGTATTGAATCCATTGTGCATGGTTTGTGGTCCAATTATTTTTAGCATGCATCTATGGTTCAATAGAGTCATTAATTGACGTTTGATTGTATACTATGATATTTCATGGATAAAAAAATCGATCATTCGTCTAGTGTAAATAACGTAGTCTGCAAGCCACCTTATTCATATTTCTCGGCTAAGATTTTTTTTATGGAGGGCTACTCAAATTCGAGGAGATCTTGTGAACGTTAACTCAATCATTGAACTGACAATTCCTTTGAATTTATCTCTTAGCGATCCGATTTTTATCTCCCCAATCGTCGCAAAACGTCGCCCTTTCATGCGTTTCCTCAATCGTGGGAATCGGAAAAAGTCGCAGGGGACAAATCTGGTGAATAAGGTGGCTGATGTATGATTACGGTGTTGTTTTTGTCCAAAAAATTACGAACAAGCAATGACGAGTGAGCAGGTGTATTATTGTGATGTAAAAGCCACAATACCGGACGTTTTCTTCGTATTGCTTCTCGCAAGCGGCACATAACTTCAAGATAATACTCCTTATTGACCCTACCAGTTGAAAAATCCATATTTTCTTAAACCATATTTCAGAAAATTGCCTAAAGGCAAAATTGGTCATATAATTTTATAACTTACTAATAAACAGGGTTTGAAATTGGGTTTACTTTGGGTGAAATTTAATTATCCTGGCATTGACTGGGAGATTAGAACCATATTGTTCTATGGATAACAATGCTTATTCTCTTCTCTTTTCACCAATACTTTAATTGCATTAAATTTTTTTCAGCTAATTTGTCAGCTAACCATATTCAGAATTGATTACAATTTATCTCTTCTTGAGTTAATACTTACAAATGGCAGAAACTTAGTTAATACTGTTTCCTTTAAAAGCCCTATTTGTGATCACTGCAATTCTACAGATTTCTCTGATCAAATGCATAAAGAACGTTAAAAAATGTAAGAATTTCCTGAGAGATTTGTTGAATACAAATAAATATCTTAGTTCAATTGTATTACTTGATGCAGAAGGAAATGCTTCATGGGAATTTCTAGGAGATCAAACCAGCTTCATATACTATACATATACTATACATATACTATACATATACTGAAACAAAAAGTGTTGGTAACATTGGATTCATGTAGTTATATGTTTTCCTACTACTTGGAAACACTGCAGCCTCATGGACTTACTGCGTTCGTTCGAAAAGACTGAAAATATTGTAATTGAATGGCTTATTTTTACCTTTCTTTTTATGAAGAAAACTCGCAGAAGACTAAAAACTGTAACGCTAATATTTTCATCCACTGGAACAACCTGTGTCCCATTAATTAATGCTTACTAAAATATTTTGAACAAATATTGTAATTTTGAAAACTAACCTTCAATTTCGTTTTTGATACGTTTGAGCGGTTATGTCGCCTAATATTCATTGGATAATAATAATATATCTACGTACTATGGAGGTCCTGAAGGGTATACTCGATTTGTCGTAATGACAAGTACCTCCAAGCTATATGTAAATCTGGTTACACTAATTATTTCTTTTGAACCGATGAAATACTTGAAGGCTAGGCCACCAAAACAGAGTTTCACAGCAATAAAACACTTGTTCCCAACAGCTGTAAAACTGACAGCCATGAAATTAATGTCTACGTTTTATTATTCTTGAATCATATGTGACTTTTGGGGCTTCGTTATGCATCACTATTTCAATTACTGTTACTGACCTAATCAAATTGAACCCATGGAATCATATATTCAGATATAGTTGTGACTAAATATTGAAACTTTGCATAAATGCTTCTAATTTTTGATACGTTTGAGCGGTTATGTCGCCTAATATTCATTGGAAAATAATAATATATCTATGTACTACGGAGGTCCTGAAGGGTATACTCGATTTGTCGTAATGACAAGTGACTCCAAGCTATATGTAAATCTGGTTACACTAATTATTTCTTTTGAACCGATGAAATAATTGAAGGCTAGGCCACCAAAACAGAGTTTCACAGCGATAAAACACTTTTTCGCAATAGCTATAAAACTGACAGCTATGAAATTAATGTCTACGTTTTATTATTCTTGAATCATATGTCACTTTTGGGGCTTCGTTATGCATCACTCTTTCAATTACTGTTACTGACCTAATCAAATTGAACCAATGGAATCATATATTCAGATATAGTTGTGACTAAATATTGAAACTTTGCATAAATGCTTCTACAGAAATTCACACGTTTAATTTGACATTATGATTGTGACAGTTTCTAGACGGCTCTCTACTGAGACAACTCAAATGAATATGTAAATCAAATAAAACTCACCAATGCAATGAAGATATTCAATAAACCAAAATGAATGGCTACACTTCACTGATTCACATAACCTCACGAAAATAAGACAGTCCTTCAATCAAAAGTTCTTGAATACCAATATTTTTTATATGACATCCCGAAATTTCATGATCATAATCGAAAGTTATTCCAATGATGAGACATTTTTAATTCGAACGGACATTTTGTTATTTTGAATTTGAATGAAATCGAAAAGAATACGCGATGTATTAGTGATGCGTCTATCAGAGTCAAGTAGGTTGGCTATTGTTGAGAAATACGTTTTCAGTCATTCACATACGAACATATGCGAACATTTTACTTTCAAGCAAATGTTCTTGCTGAAATTTCTTGTTATTCAGGTAATAAAATTGATTCAATTTGAGAATTGTTATTATTTTCAATAGGACAAAGTAAATAACTTTTTGTTTAATTTCTACTAAGTTTATTATTTGTTAGTAGAAATCAGACAAAAGTTATTTTCTTTGCCCTATATTCAATATGAATTTCTACAAAATAAATAGGTCACTAATCGAACATGACAAATGATATTTTGTTCTTATATTGCTGCATTCAGCAATATAAGCATATTTCATGAAATAGTTTCTACGAACACCTGAACATTTTCTCAGGTAAATTTCCATTTTTTTCAAACTCGAACTTTATTTTTGAGCACAACTATGCTTTTTGCTCTCATGGTATTGCTAAATAACAAAGTTTGAGGTCTTTTGGTATTACTTTTAATAAGATATTTACATTACAAAAAAATCCAAATAATTTAGATTGTAGATAGTTGCACTGTTTTATTCGGATGTCTGTTTTATATGGATTTTAAGATGAATATTCAAATAGAATATCAAAAATAAATAGTACCACTAATTTGAGTGTAATTTCTGTATTATAAAAAGTGAACTGGTTTTTACACCAATATATGGTTTCCTAATACAGGTTGATACCTAGACCTTACAGGATAATTATTATTATTATCCTGTTAGACAATCAAAAAGGTACACTGTATAGGATTAGTCAGAAAAGAGCTTAAAAATAAAACTTAAAATAAGAAGACAATTTACTAAGATAACATGTTTATTGAAATTTTCATTTTATTATTCAATCATTTTCTGACGAAAGTAATAGTTTTTCTCTAGTGGGAAAGATTTAAGTGTAATTTTGAAGCTGTGGATAGTACTAGAGTTTTTCAGTTCAAGGGGTAGCAAATTGAATAACCTGAGCTCTATTACATTGGAGGAGTTGTAAGTCAGTGCATTTTTACAATATGGCATATGAAAGTCTGTCTTACATCTGGTATTAATAGGTAGATAGATATGTTTATTTACTTCACGGAGTATTTGTAATCCTATATGAAAACAGTGACACAATACGTTGTCTGTAAAAGTACGTCACAAAATACAAAATCTTGAATCTACTTACATTTCAAGAATATGGAATTTCGTTGTCCGTAAAAGTACATTACAAAATACAAAATTTTAAATCTGGACTGTATGGACTGTATAAGTTAAAAATCAGCACGAGGACTTTCAAAAACTATTTATATAGAAGTAGATGCTAAAAAAATAAAAAACATCACCCTGAAGTTTTTGAATAAAACATTTTCATTTGAGTGAACCTTTAGCATCTTTACACATCTTGAAAAAATTCTTTAATTCTGTAGATATCCTGATCAGATCAGGATCTGATCAGATCAGATATAAACTGCTGGTGCAGTGAACAAAATTTTTACCTAAAAATTAACCTAAAGGAATTCCTAGAATTTTTATTGAAACTTGTACCATTCTTTTTTGACACAGAAAAACTCCTGTATAATTCATCCCTTGAACTCCAAAGTGTTATTGCTAGCCTCATGATAGAGTAGAAATTTGCATAATAGAGTAGAGTAGAGTAGAGNTATCGTATCATATACTTCTTTAGGACAGACAGGGTCCAGAAAAAAAGATCCGCATGGCGAGGGAAAGTTTTTGTAGTTATTTACTTCATTGATCAAAAGATCGGGAAGACCTTTAACAGTATTATCAGTTATACTGCAGGAAAAGTCATTCAAGAATTGTGCTGATAGCTCTACTGGTTTAATTGCATTAATAGGGTTCCTTTTACTGTTTATTATATTACAAGCTCTGAAAATATTAGTGGAACTCAATATACATTTTTCATTTACTTCTTTTTTTCGTTTTTTTTAACTGGACCTTGTACTTTTTCTTCATAGCCCTGAAAGCAGTCGTATAGTATGGATTTCGTGACATATTTGCTGCGACTTTAGCTGCCTTAATATACTGTTAATAATACTTCGAGGTCAACACATTTTTTAAGTACTCTTATCCCATATATTACTGAAGACAATCTACTGCATATAATGTTTATCTGGATTATCCAACTCAAAGTATCATCAATGTTGATGCCCAGAAACTTCCACAGAGGTATTGCAAATGATATTTTCATTATCAAGTGTTCTGTGATGTGGCGTTTATAAGCTGTTGTTGGTTTTGAAAACGTGGCTGTCGGTTTTTTCTGCATTTAGAATTAACTTGTTCTCAAGAAAATATTCGTTGCATTTTTTGATGACTTGATTATACCTGGTAGAGTCACATTTTCAGTTATGGTTATCATATTTAAAAACACCTAATTCGAATATATACAGGCATGGTAATGTTAGTATTTTGAAATTTAAAAAATGCTTTTACAGCTTGTATTTCTTGAGACTCCTGCTATATATTTTATAATCTGTTTCTGTACGACAAAAATATCTTTGCATAGGGAGGATGCTCCCCAGAAAGTAATACTATACCGAAGACGTCATTCGACTTGGGCATGATACAGCATTGTCAGCTGTTTCTTGCCTAAAATATTACGAAGATTTCTCAGAAGATAATTCATGGAGTTCAATTTTGATATAAATAAGTTTTTCAGCTGAGAAATTCATCCTACACCTTAAAACTTTACCGTAGAGCACAGAGAAATTTCATCATCTTCAATACTCAAATTGAAACTGGCTATTTCTTTTTGTCTAGCCCGACATCTTATTAAGGTATTACTCAAGTAGCAAATAACATTTGGCACTACAATGAAATGCTAGGAATTGATTAAATAACCCTCATCATATAAAGTAATAATAATGAAAACATTAACTTAGCCCTAGGAATTAGTCTCAGTTATCTCATGATAATGCTAACTTGTTTAGTGAAACGCGCTTCGAGAGACAGAATATTTGTTCTGGTGTTTGAAAAGTGTTTTCAATAGATTTATTTCATGCAAGAAGTTCCAAATTCTATTCATCAGAAGTGAATGTTTCTGTAAATGCTATCTTTCAGAGAACTCAAGAGAAAAAGGTTAAGCACAGTGAAACCACTTCATAATGTAATAATTGAATTTAGAAGAATATTAATATCACATTAATGAAATTAAAAGCAATTTCATCTATTCAGGTTGCATTTTTACAATTTGATGATACTTATTTTTACAGAGGTAGAATGTGACCCCCCAACTTCATTAGAAGAGAGTGTGATGTTTCCTGCCATATCTGTGTCACACAATGAATGTGAATTCGAAGATTCGAATTTTTTACCAGCTTTATCAAAATTACATCTGAACAGTAATTTAGGAAGTGTTACTCTGGATATTTCTTCCCAGGGATCTTCAGATGATTCTATTGGTTCTGCTTCGTGTGCATCACCATTACCAGTTCTCTCATTGGACACTAGACTTCCTCATTTCAACTATTCTAGCTTGTTGACTGCTACAAACAATTTTGATATTCGCCCCTTCAGTGGACCCAACGAGGGAGGCAGACTGTTGGGTTCTGGTGAATTTGGATCTGTCTTTCTCGCACTGGGATTATTAGATAAACCTGTTGCTGTTAAGAAACTATTTCTGGAAAACGAAGTTGTCAGTGTTGATGATGAGGTGACTAAGCAATTCCGTAATGAAGTAGAAGTTTTGAGCAAATATAAGCATGAAAATTTGCTGAATTTACTTGGATTTTCGTGTGATGGTTGTACATACTGTTTACTGTATGATTTTATTCCTGGAGGGTCACTTAAAAATAGATTACAGGTAAATGAATTTTGTTGAGAGTAATATCAAACGTTCTAATACTTCAAATAATTTACCTTGCTAGTGCTATAACTAAGATCTGACAAGATCAAAATAACTTGTGTATTTGGAGGTTTGTATCAAGTCTAGATAATTGTTATAAACTTATAAAGAAACAAATAAGGCAGTGTATCTATAGAAATTAAATACTCAACTTTTTATGTTCTCAAGATTTTATGTAACTAATAGACCAGATTTTTTTCTCTTCCGACATCTGTCCAGATCTTCCTAGTGAAAATGTTCACTTGGCGATCGAAACACGTGTCAATGGTTTGGTGTTGGGAAAAAACTTCAGTAATATTCATTAGATTGAATTGGTCGTTACTGGATGTAAGTCCATATTAATACTAACTGACAAAATTTATTATAAATTGTATCAGTTAGTGATTTTTCAGTATGAATAAGTGAACATGTGATCTAGAAGTCCTTACAGCTCAGTTACTCGAAAATGTGGAGCGGTGAATCAGTGGTTTTTTTACTATTCATCTGATGGAATTTATCACGCTCTTTCAGTCCCCAGGACAAAAAAAAGATTTTCGTTTTGAATACTGACCTTGACCTTCGGTGATATTGTACAGAATCCATCTGGAATAGATATTTCTCACTTATAAATGTTCGAATGTACTTCTTTCTGTGAGATGCCAAGAGCAGGTTTTATGTCGATTTTCTTCAATCATACCACTTGAAATTTTTTAGAATGTCAACTGATTTTAGCCGTCGTTCATGAGAGTGATTATTGATGAGTGTACTCGTATGTATAACCTTGACAAAATTTTGCAAACGCAAATAGTGAACAGTTTTTCTTGATAATATTTCATTTCCAAAAGTTAAACGAAGTGATTCTATATATTCTTGTAGAGTTAGGCATTTCTTAAAACAAAAAAATCATTCAACGAATACTTTTGCCAATGATTCCAATACAATTTCTTTTTTCAAACATTCACTGTCAGTTAACTATACTCTCAAATTCTAAAAAACGAATTTTTCGAATAATATGATGCCACATTTCTGAACAAGCATCCCCTAATAAATTTTACAAATTCAAAGTGGAAGAATATATACCCTAGTAAATGGTCACCTACTAATGACTAAAAGATACATATTCAATGCTTGAAATTTTGTTTTAATTTTTTTTTGAAAATTTAAAAAAATATTGAGGAAATATCAAGAGTAGCAACTCTCAGAAGTTGAAATTTGAGCAAGCTACAGACTAATGAGGTCTTACGTTTTAACTTGTGATTTTGTATTGCAACTTGCATTTGCAATATAACGGGTTTGTTGACTGGTGGAAGAGGATGATAAACATCTCGAAAGAGTACCCTGCATATGAATAACACTAAGTTTTGTTCAGCTTTCAACTTCTTCAAGAAGATATATACATATTTTATTAGATTTGCTTCAATTCTACATAATTCATCACTCAAAGTTATTTTCTGGTAATTCACTAAAAGCGTGACAATTTTCAAGTGAGTTTCTGCTACCGAAATTTTAAATCGATATCAGTAGAGAAATATTCTACCAATTTGAAAATGTTTCCAGTCTCAATGCATCTCTTGAAAAATTCAGTGTATAACAAAAGTTAGATG